CTAACCTCATCGTCCGCTCTCGTTCCTCTCACTCCAGGCGGGTCTGTCATCTCGCGGACTTACATCGCAGCGGTGCCATGAGCTCCGCCAAGGCTGCTAATCCACTGTCAGTCCCTTGTCACTCTCCCTCCTCCCCCTCCCAGGCGGGTCCGTCATCTCGCTGACCTACATCGCATCGGAGCAGATCATCCCCGGGTACGGAGGTGGTATGAGCTCCGCCAAGGCTGCTCTCGAGAGCGACACCCTGAGGCCCACTTGACCTTTACCATCCTCTCTCCCCTACTTCCCCCCTTTCCAGGTGGCTCTGTCATTTCCCTGACCTACATCGCATCGGAGCAGATCATCCCCGGCGGAGGCATGAGCTCCGCCAAGGCTGCTTTGGAGAACGACACCCTGAACCGCACCTGCCTCTTCTCCCCCTTCGTTTCCCCCCAGGCGGGTCCGTCATCTCGCTGACCTACATCGCGTCGGAGCAGATCATCCCCGGGTACGGAGGTGGCATGAGCTCTGCCAAGGCTGCTTTGGAGAGCGACACGCGTGTGCTGGCGTGGGAGGCGGGGCGCAAGTATGGCATCCGCGTGAACACCATCTCTGCAGGTACTGTAACCCTCCATGCCTGGTGCTAGTGGTAGGTGCTGGTGTTGATGGGATGCCGAGGCATCTCCTGAGGGCGACACGCTCATGCTGGCATGGGAGGCGGGGCGCAAGTATGGTATCCGCGTCAACACCATCTCTGCAGGTACTGGCTTTGGTGTCAAATTGCCTATTCCTGCTGCTGCGGTAACGGATGTTAGTGTCACAGCAGCACCGGAGTGCCTCCCTGCTACCCTTCATCTTGCCGTCAAACTACCACACTCACGTACTCACATGCCTCCCTTCTCTCCCTCCTTGCTTCAGGTCCGCTGCGCAGCAGGGCAGCCAAGGCGATTGGCTTCATAGACAACATGATCAACTACTCCACCGCCAATGCACCCCTGCCCAAGGAGCTTGATGCTGATGAGGTGGGGGCTACCGCGGCTTTCCTCGCGTCCCCTCTGGCCTCAGCGATTACCGGAGTGACGCTGTATGTGGACAATGGCCTGCATGCCATGGGTGTTGCTGTTGACAGCCCGGCTATTGCCAATGCCGGGAAGTAGGAGGATGATGCATTATACACTCTCTTTCAACAAGTTACTTCTGTTCTGGATATCACAGGAACGCTGTATGTTGACAATGGCCTGCACGCCATGGGTGTTGCTGTTGACAGCCCGGCTATTGCCAACGCAGGGAAGTAGAAGAATGGTGCATTGTACACTCTGTCTCAATAAGATATGTGATAAACAAGTTTTGTTGTTCCTGGCCTCGGCCATCAAGACTGACGTTGTGTGTCGACAATGCCATGGGTGTTGTTGTTGACAGCCTGCCACAGTATTGCCAACTCTAAGACGTACCGGTAGTAATGCTGCAAAAGCAGGCTTGGTGGAAATACAGCAAGAATACTGCACGTTGGCCTGAGCTATGCTCATTGCTGTTGCTACAGAAGTGGGCTGAGAAGAGGTAGAGCCGGAAAAGTTAATGCTTGGTAAAAATACCACAACTGTATTTTGTAAATAGCTTCCCAGAGAGGTGGTGGTGCTGATGTCAGGTGGAGGGTATGATGCGTGGCATTGGTGTTGCCTTAGACATTGCTTTAGACAGAGCAATTATATCACAAGATCATTAAGATGGTACAGGGACTCAGCATACCGTACATTGGGACAAGGCCCAGATTCACAATGAACACATTCAGGAGACAACAGCCTTGGCCTTCATCTTTCGGGCGCAGTGATTCCCCACTGCACACCCAAAATACAAGGTGGTTCCCTTCTGGATATCCTTCACAGGGTAGAAATAGTGCGCCCCGAAAATGCCAGTCTTGGGGTATAACTGGGTCGCGAGGGTGAAGTCGCAATTGTCGTATGCGATCTTGGTGGGGAATCGCCACACGTCGTGCTCCCCCAACCACTTGAACACTGCAATTATTGCAAGCAAATTAATTGAATATTGATGATTGGAGCAAAACAGGACGGATGGTCTGGTCATCCCCACAGGGCGGGGTATGTATGGGTGGGGTGGGGACAGTAGGGGAGTTGAAGGATTAGAGAGCACTTCATGGTGCTTAGTCACACACACACAACAAGCAAGCCACTTACTGAGCTGGTCGCCTGGCTGCACTGTCCTTAACGGCTTCCACCCAGAGACTCCGTACCGCCCCGTTTTGAGTCCATTAAAAACATGACACATCATATCACACACAACAAGCAAGGCACTTACTGAGCTGGTCGCCTGGCTGCACTGTCCTGAAGGGCTTCCACCCAGAGACTCCGTACCGCCAGGGGCTAAAAATGCCGTATCCCACTATGATGGTCTTTGACTGGTGAATAGATGTTAAAGAACGAGAGAGGAAGAAAGGGTGCACGCGGCATTAGGATATGTGTTCAGTGTCACGGTGTGCGTGCTTCATCAATATTGCCGAACAAACGAATGCAGCAAGTATTTCACGAGGAACGGAACAAGAATTAGACGTGTTGGCTGAAACGCGGGTGTGCTGTGGGGCAGTAGTACCTCAGCCAATGCCGCGCCTGCAAGCATCAGAAGGACAAAGGGAGAAAAAACACGGGGTCGGGGTTTGTTTAGGGCGGGATGACTGGGAGGGGCTTTTCTCGAACTGCTGAAAATACGTCCACTTTTTTAAATATTTGAATCGCAAAACGGATTGCAACAAACAGAGGCAAGATTCCTTCTTGTAAGCTTACTCGAAAGTAAGACGGCGAGTAGCACCCCTCCAACAGCGATGCTACTTCTAGAATCGAGAAACGGATTGCAACAAACGGTGGGCAACTTTTCTGTGTAAGCTTACTTGAAAGTAAGACGGCGAGTAGCACCCATCCAATAGCGATGCTATCCGCAGACCTGCCTGGAGACCCCTTAATCGCCATGCCGCCGAGAGCGAGAAGACTGCGCTAAAAAGGCACCTTGACGGGATGACTAAAATGCCAATATGGGCGGAATGCAACCACTAGCTGAAATGGAAAGGGCTCTTCCAAGACCCAAGCGGACTCTTATCGGTTGTTTATCGGACCGTCAAGTTTCCTTGTAGTACAAATACCCGAGGCGAAAACCACTTTATATAGTACCATGCAATTCCGCGGCCTTCAATTCCTTGCGCGGGGCGACCGTCGCAGTGTGACATGGTGTGTCCATCACGGTGTGGCTTGGGTGGGAAGCAACTGGCGACAGGGGCCTTCCAGTCTCCAGACCGACCTGAGTGAATATCGTACAGCCATCCAGGCGCGCTGCAAGGGGCTACCTTAGCTTCCGACGCAGTTATGTAGGTCGGTAGGAGACTGTAAATAAGGTCGGGGCAACCTAACGAGATGGAATCGGGAAAGGCTTATTGTGTTGGTAGTGGGGAGGGGCTGTAGTGATTGGCAGGCTGCAAATGCACATTTTGGAATCTGGGACAGGAAACCATCGAGATGGGGTCTGCTGACGTGGTGCAGTTATGCTGGTGACACTTGGCAACGACGCATGCTTCTGACTAGCTTGTAGGGGCTTTCTTTATAATGTGTCTCGTTATACGGTATTAAGTAAAGTATACATATACAGAATGACACCAATGAACAGAAAAGTGTACGTATACGCACAATGCAGCACGCGCCTTAGAATCCACATTCACTGTCATGATATTAAAACGAAGGGGAGTTGCTTGAAAAGGAAAGTTGCTCCCACAAACGAGGGAACCGACCATATTCTCAAGATCCGCCAGGCGACGGACTGCACAGCCAATAACAAATGAGGAGAAATTCGTCGAGGTTGCACTGCGCGACGCTATCGCCTCACCCTTACCACGCTGTACATCGTATGCCCTCCACGACTTCCTACTCAAGTCGTGCGAGCCAGCAAGCGTAGGCAGCAAGCGGGTGCCCCCTGTGGGATCAAACGTGGGATATGCTTGGCAGTTGGAAATTGGAATTGGAATCACCTGCTCATGTCGTGACACTATAACAGTACAGTACCACGCTGTATCGCTAGATAACGCAAGACACCATTTCTCAGCGTTCTGAAGGTTCCAGAGAGACAAAGACCGTGATCTACAGTACTTCGTGCAGGCCGCGAAAAAGGTGTGTGTTGAAGGGCTGCTTGAATAAGAGCTTTCATAGAGGCTGGATATGGTTTTGTAAGATCCTGTGAGATGCGGTACGGTTTATATTTCACGGAGGTTACTTTTTTTTATTTTTTGTCATTGCAGGATGGAAGTTATTCCATATTCATTCCTTCCGCGACCGCCTTGCATAGCTCTTCAGCGCTCTAGTACCTGCCGCCTGATACCCGAGAATAAACACGAATGGCACACACGGCCGACTCGTTTCGTCCACTGATCGAACTCAACGCCGCTCTATCATAGCTTGCTGGACATTCCTTGCCTACTGATCATGCTGCATAGAGCATTTTATGTGATATTGTCAGAGTTACCCTAGACTAGAACTGGGTGGAATTTTCCTGCCAGTGTTAACGCTTGGTCGTCCGCGACTGAAACTGGAGGTCCTCTGTCGTCTCCTACGAAAGAAACCTTTGTTTTTTTTACTTTCAGTGTTGGAAGTAGTTACGGTAGCAAAGTTACGATAGCGCTGAGCCTCGTCGATTTATACCCCACACCTTCTTTAGACCGTCATTCGCGTTCTCACAGTCGCGCAACCTTCGAGGCGATGGCGTCGTCCATGTCGCTCACCGACGTCGCAGCGTTCGCAGCGTCGTCGCTCGTCGAGTTCGCAGAAGTCATCGTCATCGCCGTCGCCACGTCCGTTCCCGTCGCCGGCCTTTGTATAGGCGTTCCCGTCGTCCGCATAATCACCGCGTGCCTGCGCGGGCAGCCTTCGCGTTTTAAGTACATCCGCTGGTGGCTAACCTGCGCCGTGTCGCTCCTGCTGCTCGTGAACCTCCTGTTCCTGTCCGTCGGAATCGGCGCGCTTTGGCTTCAGATGCCGCCTGATCCGGCCGCCATGTCCAAGGGCACGTGTCGCGTCGTTTCCGCAGGTGAGAATAAAGATCATTGTTGCTCAAACCCAAAAGTCGTTCATTTGTTTCCATTCCCCCTCTTCTCCCCGCTCCACATCCCCCTTATCCGTCCCCCATGACCCCTCAGCATTTTCCCGCTTCGCCATTTCCTGATTTCGCGACTACCCGATTTTCGCAATGTCCTGATTTCGCCATTTCTGATTTCGCCAGGAGTGGATTTGCGATCCGTCAAGCTGTGCACCGTCAACGACACCTCCTCCTCGTCCTCGTCGCCCACCTGGTTACCATCTTCGCCACCCACGTGGCAAGCCCCTTCGCAAGCCTCGCCCAACTCCGCCTCTAGGTCGTTCGCCTCCTCCTCCCCTTATGCCACCCCGTCTTCTCCTTCCTCTTCCCCCAGCCACCATTCCTCCTCCCACTCCTCCCCCCCACCCTCCTGTCACTCCTCCCCATTTTCCTGCCCCTCCGCCTCCGCTTCCGCTTCCCCCCCCGCCTCCCCCTCCGCCTCCGCCTCCCCTCCCGCCAACCCCCCCTCCGCGCTCGCGTCCCTCTCCGCGTCGCTCCTCTCGCTCCTCCCGCACCCGCTGCTTTCCGCGCTGCCGCTCTCCCCCTCCGCCACGCGCTGCCACTTCACCTACTACTGGGCGGCACTGATTCAGCTCGACCTCAACGTGTCCTTCCACTCGCCGTCCAACACGTGGCGCTCGCTGCGGCAGCACAGGCGCCAGAAAAGTCAACGCGGTCAACGCAGTCAAGCGAGTCAACGCGGTCAAGCGAGTCAACGCGGTCAACGCGGTCAAGGGGAGCAAGGGGAGGAATGGGAGGAAGGGGAGCGGGGAAGCATCACTACGATCCGAACCACCACGGCTCTCCCGGACCCGCTGTCCCTGTCCCTGCCGTCGTCCCAGTGCCGCCCGGACTTCAACGCGGCCTGGCGGGCCAAAGACAAGTACAAGGTACGCTCCTACTGCTGCTGCTGCCACTGAGGCGATTTGTGAGGTGACTTGTGAGTCGACTCAAAAGCCGCCCGGACTTCAACGCGGCCTGGCGGGCGAAAGACAAGTACAAGGTGCGCCCCTCCTGCTCCTGCCACTAAGGTGACTGTTGAGGTTCCTTTAAGGCGTCCTGAAGCCGCCCGGACTTCAATGCTGCGTGGCAGGTGAAAGACAAGTACCTACTGCTGTCATGCCCGCTGCTGCCACTCCCCCTGCTGCCACTCCCCCTGCTGCCACTCCCCCTGCTGCCACTCCCCCTGCTGCCACTCCCCCTGCTGCCACTCCCCCTGCTGCCACTCCCCCTGCTGCCACTCCCCCTGCTGCCACTCCCCCTGCTGCCACTCCCCCTGCTGCCACTCCCCCTGCTGCCACTCCCCCTGCTGCCACTCCCCCTGCTGCCACTCCCCCTGCTGCCACTCCCCCTGCTGCCACTCCCCCTGCTGCCACTCCCCCTGCTGCCACTCCCCCTGCTGCCACTCCCCCTGCTGCCACTCCCCCTGCTGCCACTCCCCCTGCTGCCACTCCCCCTGCTGCCACTCCCCCTGCTGCCACTCCCCCTGCTGCCACTCCCCCTGCTGCCACTCCCCCTGCTGCCACTCCCCCTGCTGCCACTCCCCCTGCTGCCACAGCCCCCGCCACTCCTGCAGGGTGCACGTGCCCGCCCCTCTTCTTCCCCTTCTGTCCCCAACCCAACCCCCTCCTGCCCTTCTTCCCTCCCCCCATTTCCCCTCTCACCCTTTTTCCCTTCTTCCCCCGCTTCCCTCACCCCCTTCCCTCCCCAGGTGGCATCGCTGCACAAGTGCTTGTACCACCCGCGCCACCCGCACAGGGTGCGCCTGTCCCTTCCCCTCACCACCCACCCGCTCTTGCCCTTCTTCCCCTGTCTCGTCCCTGGGCACTCCCCGTCTCCTATTCCTCCTCCTCTTTTTCTCCCCAGGTGGCCTCGTTGCACAAGTGCCTGTACGACCCGCGTCACCCCCACAGGGTGCACCTGCCCCCGCCGCGCTCCATGCGCCAGTGCCCGCCCCCCCCGCGCCAGGGCATCTTCATGCACCTCGCTGCCGCCGCCATCACCAAGTGGTGAGTGTTTTAGGGTTTCGAAGGGCCTGTAGAGCACTGGATCTTACCGACACGAGCTGCACGTACTGGGTGCATGCTGCCAATGTTCGCCGCGCTCCATGCGCCAGTGCCCGCCTCCCCCGCGCCAGGGCATATTCATGCACCTCGCTGCTACCGCCGTCACCAGCTTCCCATATTCATGCACCTCGTGGCCTCGGTCTGGGAGTGCTGTGCAGAATCCCACGTCCAACCCCCCACTCTCTCTTTTCCCCATCCCCCATTCCTCCCCTCGACGTCCCTCATTTCTCCCACAGGTTCTTTTCAGACGAGTCCATATTCCAGCCCTCCTCCTCGGTGGGCAAGCCCTATCTGGGCCTCAGCCTGGGCGTGCTGCTGGGAGTGCTGTGCTGCGTGGGCACGCATGTCTTTGGTCGCATCGTTGTGGCTCTTGACTGCTTTCAACCCCCAGCTTCCTCCCTTTTCGTCTCTGCGATTGAGGTACGCTGCTTTTTGAAGCGTCACGGCCTGTTCCTGCTGGGTGTGCCCCTGCTCTTTCCCACCTCCTTGTGCTGCTGGGACTGCTCTGCTGTATCGTCACGCATGTCTTCGGTTGCATCATCATGGCTTGACTGCTTCCAACCAACCACCCTCTTCCTCCTTTTTTGTCTCTGCGAGATGAGCGATCTAAACCTTCTTTCGCACAGTGGTCTTAGAGAGACACTTGCAGACGCCTGGCGCATGTGCGCATCTTACCCATCTCCTCACACACTCATACTCGTGCCATGCATCCCTTCACACACACATGCTCATGCCATCCATCCCCCTCGTATTCCCACTTGCCCAGGTAAGCCGTGGGCTGCGCATAACTCTAGTTGGAAGGTACCACTCTGCAATGAGCGAGGAGGGTAGGGAAAGCCGGAGAGACAGAGGGAGCAGCACCAGAAGCAGCAGTGGCAGCAGTGGCAGCAGGGACAGGGACGCAGACAGGGATAGCAGCAGCAGCAGAAGCAGCATGCTACACACGCACGGATCCATAACCCGATCACTGGAGAAAATCCTCGGATTTCGCGGCTCTTCTGCTGCCCTATCCTCCACAGACACCCAGTTTCTCTCGAACCAGTCTCCAGACATTCACCGCTTGCCCAGCTTGCTCCATTCAGCAGGGTCGGGTTCTCTCTCTGATGAGCTGGATGATTTGGATCTCTCGGAAAGCATTCTCAGCTGCTTCTGCCCGTCGCTAGTCGACAGCCCTTTTCTGGCAAAGAAGCACCCTGAGAATTCACCTGAGAGGTCACCTGATCGCTACCGCAAGGCGGATGTGTGCCGTCTGAGTAGTCTGGGCCGAGCTGTTGCAGCAGGGGCGGAGGATGTTGAGCCGCTTTCCCTGCTTCGGCAGGAGGAGCAGTCACAGGCAGAGGCAGAGGTAGGGGGACAGACAGCGGAACAGGCTCGGGCTCAGGCTCAATCACGGGCAGGGGCAGATGCAGAGGCAGAGGCAGAGGCAGGGGGACAGGCACGATCGCAGCACCCACAAGGTCTGCCTGCTGATGCCTCAGAAGCGCAGCCGTGCAAGCATTCACAAGTGGGTGACGACAGGCTGCTTCTGCCTGTGCCTCAAGAAGAGACCGTGCCTGAGGAGCTGCTGTTGGGGTATCAGCAAGTAAGTTGTTTGAGTCCAGCTGTGTGCTGTGAGGTATCGGGTGTGGAGGGCGATAGAGGTGGTGCTGTCACAGCAGCAGCAGGTTCGGCGGCAGGTCCGGCAGCAGATCCGGTCATAGTTTCGGCAGCAGGTTTGGCACCAGGTCTGGCAGCAGCTGCAATGGTGGCTCCTCCAGGTTCAGAGGGTTTGGCTGATAGGGACCAGCAAGTGGCATCAGTGCCACCACTACCACTCACACCTGCAGCAGCAGATCAGCCATCAGCCTTGAGATCATCGTCAGCATCATTATCATTGCCAGCATCATCGTCAGCATCATTGTCCTCAGCAGCCGTATCAGCACCCTCGGCTCCTTTGTCAGTAGAAGCTGGGGCTTCAGGGTCAGAATTGTCATCATCGCGAGAAGTAACCGCACCTGCTGCGCAACCACAGCAACGCCCAAAGCCTCTTTCGCCCCGGAGCAGACGATACCCGTCGCCCACTTTCCTACTCCAGGCGCGCGCACAAGCCTTGTGTTACATCGCTATAACGTGCGCAGTTGTTGGGCTCCTGGGTATTCTTCACGATACTGGATTAGTGCCGTTTTTAGATCCTTCTGGAGCGCCTGTGTTCTTGCAAGGGATTAATTCCTTGCTCCAGCAAGGTGGTTTGCCCTATGCCTCTGCAGCAGCCTTTGATGGCTCCTCCGGTGCTGACCGCTCTTCGGTATACCGCGACCACCGGCTTTTCGTGTGAATGAAACACATCTTATTATGGTGGACATTGACCACATTTTACTGTACATGTATATTAGCATGATTGATTTGCAACTTTGTTTATATGTGTTCACAATCTTTTAAGTGTTACGCTCAGGAAATGCATTTTTGTGAGGTCGCGTCTTGGGCTCACCCTTCTTGGTCGCGTCTTGGTCGCGTCTTGGGCTCACCCTTCCACTTTATAGGTTTGTTTTAGCAGATGTGAAGCCTGGTGGCCTCGTTGGGTTCAATAACCCGGTTCGGTGGTCCCCGCTGAGTCAGCGAAATGGCTTTCCTCCAAACCGAATCGCCCACGTGGTCCCTGAACCCGCCCACTTTGACTGTCATTGGTCCGTTCGAGCTTTTGAAACCGCGTCATGCTGTCGAGCCTGGCGCGCTGCTCGCGAAGATCTTGCAGAGCACGCTTCCGCAACCTTCGCCTGACCACACAGCCAGCTTCCTTCCTCGAGACGTTTCTTCCTTGGGGTTTCATCCATGAGAGGTTCGGGAGCACGGCACAGCACCGTTTTCGAGGGATGTTGAGCTTGTTTGGCCTGGTTGGAAGTACTGTATATAATCGTCCTCCAGGATTATTTCTCTTCATTCTTGAGCTAGGTTTCTGCTTGCCTGACTACTACTTTCTGTTTGTTCTCGCCTCCATAGCAGCCTGCTAGTTTGGTAATTTGGTAGTTTCCATCAGCCACCATGCAAATCTTCGTGAAGACTCTCACCGGCAAGACCATCACTCTTGAGGTTGAGAGCAGCGATACCATCGACAATGTTAAGGCCAAGATTCATGACAAGGAGGGTATCCCTCCTGACCAGCAGCGTCTGATTTTCGCCGGCAAGCAACTGGAGGATGGCCGTACCCTTGCGGACTACAACATCCAGAAGGAGTCTACTCTCCACCTGGTTCTTCGGCTCCGTGGTGGCATGCAGATTTTTGTGAAGACTCTCACCGGCAAGACCATCACCTTGGAGGTCGAGAGCAGCGATACGATTGACAACGTGAAGGCGAAGATTCAGGATAAGGAGGGGATCCCCCCTGACCAGCAGCGTCTGATTTTCGCCGGCAAGCAGCTGGAGGATGGCCGTACCCTTGCGGACTACAACATCCAGAAGGAGTCTACTCTTCACCTGGTGCTTCGGCTTCGTGGTGGCATGCAGATTTTTGTGAAGACTCTCACCGGCAAGACCATCACCTTGGAGGTCGAGAGCAGCGACACCATCGACAACGTGAAGGCGAAAATCCAGGATAAGGAGGGCATCCCTCCTGACCAGCAGCGTCTGATTTTTGCCGGCAAGCAGCTCGAGGACGGACGTACCCTGGCCGACTACAACATTCAGAAGGAGTCGACCCTGCATCTGGTGCTTCGCCTCCGCGGTGGGATGCAGATTTTCGTGAAGACCCTGACGGGAAAAACGATTACCCTGGAGGTTGAGAGCAGCGACACCATCGACAACGTGAAGGCGAAAATTCAGGATAAGGAGGGCATCCCTCCTGACCAGCAGCGTCTGATTTTCGCCGGCAAGCAGCTCGAGGATGGCCGCACTCTGGCTGACTATAACATCCAGAAGGAGTCGACCCTGCACCTGGTGCTTCGCCTTCGTGGTGGTATGCAGATTTTCGTCAAGACCCTCACGGGGAAGACCATTACGCTCGAGGTTGAGAGCAGCGACACCATTGACAACGTCAAGGCTAAGATTCAGGACAAGGAGGGTATCCCCCCTGACCAGCAGCGTCTGATTTTTGCTGGCAAGCAGCTCGAGGATGGTCGCACCTTGGCCGATTACAACATCCAGAAGGAGTCTACTCTCCATCTGGTGCTTCGCCTCCGTGGTGGTCAGTAGGCCACAAGCCTAAGCTGTGTGGAATGCAGGTGCCTGTAGGCCTTCGTGAGTTGTTGTACACACTGTATTAATGAAAAGGCTTACAAAAATTGGATCATGCATAACGCTATGCAATGAGTACACAGAACTTGTTTTTTAGCAGTGTCCAGTTGCAGTGAAGCAGACAACTGCTGAACCTGTTGTATGGCTAGGGTTGCTTGCAGGGGTTGGCAAAGAAGATCCAGATCTCGTGCTGGAAACATTGTGTCCCAGGAGAGTTGGTAAGGCCTTGGGTGAATTTCAGTGATGTGAGGCCATGCCCTTGGATCGTGAGTTCAGCCATGCCCTCAGATCCTGAGTTCACATCACTTCATGTGCAAGATCACGTAGTGGATTCTTCACTTGTCTAGTTTATGGGGACAGAATACATGAGTTCTGCTCCGAAGAAGAGTTGCAAAACATGCACACTTACCATAGTGCAACACAGAGCCCTACTGGCATATTGTATCATAACTCATCCTACTGCCATACCATATCACATGTCACACCCCACACCTCATAACAACAGCGTAATAACGTTCCATAATACATTCACAATGCAATGATGGCTCCGGCCTTCTCCCTCTGCGGCTCCACAGCGACAGCATCAGCCCCATCTCCTCCACCCGCCGTCCAAACGCCAGCTCAAATCTCTCATCGTAGTACTCCACAAACTGCGCATCCATGCCCTGTCTCACATGCTCTGGGCTTCCCTCACAGCCACGGCATCGCCAACCGCAATCTAGCACACACATCTCATCCACCCCTCAACTCAGTGCATTCCTGATTCACGATGCAATAATTGCACCGGCCTTCTCCCTCTGAGGCTCCACAGCCACTGCATCAGCCACCACCTCTGCAGCGCCCATCTCCTCCACTTTGCGTCCAAACGCAAGCTCAAATATCTCGTCGTAGTGCTCCACGAACCGTGCGTCCAGCCCCTCCCTCACATGCTCTGGCAGCTCCTCATAGTCCTTGCGGTTGGCCTTGGGGAACACAAGCAGCTTCACACCGTTGCGCCGAGCGGCTATGGTCTTCTCCTTGACCTGTGGGGGAAATTGGGAGCAAAAGCCATATAAGAGAATCCCTCACATGCTCTGGCAGCTCCTCATAGTCCTTGCGGTTGGCCTTGGGGAACACGAGGAGCTTCACGCTGTTGCGCCGAGCGGCTATGGTCTTCTCCTTGACCTGCAAGGGAAGGCAGTGAGAGGCAAGACAGGAGAGAAAGTGCGTAACTGCTCTGCTCTGGCAGCTCCTCATAGTCCTTGCGGCTGGCCTTGGGGAACACTAGCAGCTGGACAGGCTGCGATGGTCTTCTCCTTCACCTGTTGCGGAGGGGAGGAAACTAGAGAACATCCCAGTGACAGCGTGGCAGTGATCATGGTGCAGCCAGCAAGTCAACAAACGCCAGCATACAGTAAGTCAACAAAGTCAACGAAAGTGAAGGCAACTCACCCCTCCGATAGGCAGCACCCTGCCAGTCAAAGTCACTTCGCCAGTCATGGCTAGATCCGCCTGCACATGCCGGCCCAGTGCCAGGGACAGCATGGCAGTGATCATGGTGCAGCCAGCACTCGGGCCGTCCTTGGGTGTGGCCCTGGCCGGCACGTGCATGTGCTTTCCTTCCCAGTCACCACAGTACCAAAATTCAGTGCACTTCAAGGCAACTCACCCCTCCTATAGGTAAGACTCTTCCGGTGAGTGTGACTTCTCCAGTCATTGCTAAATCCGCCCGCACGTGTCGCCCCAGTGCCAGTGACAGCATGGCAGTGATCATGGTGCAGCCAGCACTAGGGCCGTCCTTGGGTGTGGCCCCTGCCGGCACGTGCATGTGCTTCCCTTCCCAGTCACCGCAGTACTGAAACTCAATGCACTTCAAGGCAACTCACCCCTCCTATAGGTAGGACTCTCCCAGTGAGTGTGACTTCTCCAGTCATCGCCAAATCCGCCCGCACATGTCGCCCCAGTGCCAGGGACAGCATGGCAGTGATCATGGTGCAGCCAGCGCTCGGGCCGTCCTTGGGTGTGGCCCCTGCCGGCACGTGCATGTGCATGCGTGTCTTCCGGAAGAACTCGCTTCCGGGGTCGGCCCGCGTGAGAATCTGCCGAGCGACTGTGTGCGCTATGGTGGCGCTCTCCCTCATCACGTCTCCCAGTTGACCCGTGAGCTCGAGACTTCCCCGCTCTGCTGCCTGTGTTTGGAGGGTGGAAAGGGAAGGAAGAGAGGGTGAGGATCTGCCGTGCCACTGTGTGTGCTATGGTGGCACTCTCCCTCATCACGTCTCCCAGTTGGCCTGTAAGTTCAAGGCTGCCCCGCTCTGCTGCCTGGGAAGAGGAAGGAAGTGAGGACGGGAGAGAGGAGGGAAGTGAGATCAGTTGTGGCCCCAGCCGGCACGTGCATGTGCATCTGCGTCTTCCTGAAGAACTCGCTTCCGGGGTCGGCACGTGTGAGAATCTGCCGTGCCACTGTGTGGGCTATGGTGGCGCTCTCCCTCTTCACGTCTCCCAACTGCCCCGTCAGCTCCAGACTACCCCTCTCTGCTGCCTGCCATCAGGGAGTGAGGAGGGCAAGAGAGAGGAACGGAAGCGGCAGAAGGGAGGAGCAACGGGAAAGTGCGTCCTTTAACATGGTCCTTGGGTGTGGCCCCAGCCGGCACGTGCATGTGCATGCACGTCTTTCGGAAGAACTCGCTTCCGGGGTCGGCACGCATGAGAATCTGCCGAGCCACTGTATGGGCTATGGTGGCACTCTCTCTCATCACATCACCCAGTTGACCCGTCAGCTCAAGACTGCCTCTCTCTGCTGCCTGTGGGTTGCGAAATAAGGCAGTGGGAAGGAAAGGGAAGGAAGGCAGGGTGAGGATGTGCCGAGCCACTGTATGGGCTATGGTGGCACTCTCCCTCATCACGTCTCCCAGTTGACCCGTCAGCTCCAGGCTGCCCCGCTCTGCTGCCTGTGTTTGGGAAGAAAGGCAATGGGATGAGAAGGGAAGGAGGAGGGGGAGAGGATTTGTCGTGCCACGGTGTGCGCTATGGTGGCACTCTCCCTCATCACGTCTCCCAGTTGACCCGTCAGCTCCAGGCTGCCCCGCTCTGCTGCATGTGTTTGAGGAGTAAGGCAATGGGGTGGGAAGGGAAGGAAATGGAAAGAAGGTGAAGGCGACAGGAGACGGGAAGGTCTGTATGAGGACCCATCACATACACCAGTCAGCCGTGCGACCGTGTGCGCTATGGTGGCGCTCCCTCTCATCACATCGCCCAGCTGGCCTGTCAGCTCAAGGCTGCCTCGCTCTGCTGCCTGTAGGTTGGGGAGTAAAGCAATGGGGTGGAGAGGAAGGACGACAGGGTGAGAATCTGCCATGCCACCGTGTGGGCTATGGTGGCGCTCTCCCTCATCACATCGCCCAGCTGGCCTGTCAGCTCCAGACTGCCCCTCTCCGCTGCCCGTGGGTTGGGGAGTAAGGCAATGGGATGGAAAGGGAAGGTAGAGAGTCCGCCGTATGAGAGTCCGCCGTGTGAGAGTCCGCCGTGTGAGAGTCCGCCGTGTGAGAGTCTGCCGTGTGAGAGTCTGCCGTGTGAGAGTCTGCCGTGTGAGAGTCTGCCGTGTGAGAGTCTGCCGTGTGAGAGTCCGCCGTGTCCCAACCCATGTCAATCCGTGTTGATGATGTGACACACCACACCAGTCCCTCACCTGATCGATGACTGTGGCTTCCACGTAGAGTGTTGAGCCCCCCATGGCAGTCCAGGCCAGTCCCATAACTACCCCTACCGGCGTCTCATCATACATGCACTCGCTCTGAAACATGGCAGCACTCCCATGACCCCCTTACTGTCACAAAATGCAACAAATAGCAGTGTCCCTCTTACCTGCTCAATGACGGTGGCTTCAACATAGAGGGTTGATCCCCCCATGGCAGTCCAGGCGAGACCCATGACCACACCCACGGGCGTCTCATCATACATGCGCTCGCTCTGAAACACCGGCTGCCCCACATACTCCACCAACGTGCCCTCGTCCACCACTATCCTCTCCCCCTCCTCCTTCCCACCCCCCTTTCCACCCTCCGTCTCAGCCTCACTTTCAGCCTCCTTCTCCTTACCCTCCTTGTCTCCATCAGTGCCCACTAACCCTCCCTTCTCCTCTCTCTCTCCCCTCCCTTTCACCCGGGTTTCCTTCTCCTCTTTCTCCTCTCCCTCGCCCCTCCTCTCCCCCTCGTCCCTCCTCCCACCCTCCACCTCGCCCCCATCATCTGACAGCCGAGTTACCAAGTCCAGAGCGCCCTCTGTACCCTCCATAATCTTCTCCGCTATCTCCATACTGTCCTTCCTGCTGCTGCTGCTAGAACCACTGCTACTGGATTTGCTGCTGCTAAAATCACTCCTGCTGAAATCAGTGCTGCTGCTGCTACTAGCACTGCTGGAGACGGAATTCTTGTCCTCTTCCCCATCCTCTAGTAGTCCTGATGCTGCAGCCGCAGATACCTTGTCTCGCTTCTCCCTCTCCCCCTCCCTTCGCACTATCTTAAGTGCCACCTGTGATTCGGGAGCGACAAGCCGAGGGCCAAGAAACGGATGAGGTTATTCTTAACAAAATCAGCAAAGGAGAAATACAGACTGTTTGTCAAAATGCAAATGGAGCTGCCTGGAGCTGAAAGAGAGAGTGTAAAAAAGAGGCATGTGAACAAGAAGAATATTGTTATTGAGATAACGCGGGATGCTGCAAGCAAGGACAACCTCTCGGCAAGTAACCCATAAAACCTCTCAGAACACCTCAGTACCTTGCGATAAATCCGCTCGATGTGCTTCTGCAGGTTCCTCACACCCGCCTCTCTGCAATACGTCTCAATCAGCGAATGCAGTGCACCATCCGTCACCAGGACCTGTGGTTTAGCGAGGAGGGAGGGTGAGGTGAAGGAGGAGGGAGAGTGACAAGTGAGGCGCCTTCAAAGGTTCCTCACACCCGCCTCTCTGCAATACATCTCAATCAGCGAATGCAGCGCACCGTCTGTGACCAACACCTGACAATTTCAGGAGGAGGGAAAAGCAAGGGGAATGGAGGGAGAATTGGGTGATAAGAGAGAGAAACGACAGTGGTATTAAGGTCCCCCACCTCTCGCCTCTTCGCAGCATCCGTCAGTCACAAGCACCTTGTGAGAGAGAGTACTGGGTCCGTGTGCGTGCGCTGGTGTATTAGAGTTTGTGTGAGAGTATGTGAAGTGTGTTGGAGTGTTCTAAGATCGCCCTCACCTGTTCCAGCTTCACACCACACCCAGTGCGAGCAGCAGGTTCAAGGTACCCTCGAGCGATGTGCGTCTTCTCGTCTAAAAAGTATCCCACCAGCCGAATCACCTCCATGCGATCCAGCAGGGGTGCGAGCGAGGGCGTTAGTGCGTGTCAGAGAGTGATGAGCGTGTGAGAAAGTGTGTGCCTGAGTGTGTGATAGAGTGAGTGAGTCTGGAAAGAGGTCCCACCTGTTCCGGCTTCACACCACACCCAGAGCGAGCGGCAGGTTCAAGGTACCCTCGAGCAATGTGGGTCTTCTCGTCTGAAATGTATCCCACCAGACGAATCACCTCCATGCGATCCAGCAGAGGCGCAGGAATGGTCTCCAGCATGTTGGCCGTGCATACAAAGAGCACCTGAGTGGGAGAGGAGGGAGAGACGAAAGGAGGGAATGGTGTTCATCTTCTCGTCTGAAATGTAGCCCACCAGGCGAATCACCTCCATGCGATCCAAGAGAGGCGCAGGGATGGTCTCGAGCATGTTGGCTGTGCATACGAAGAGCACCTGAGGGGGAGGGGTGAGGGAGGGAGGGATAAGGGAGGGACAATATACCCCACCAGGTGAATCACCTCCATTCGATCCAGGAGCAGTGCAGGTATGGTCTCAAGCATGTTGGCTGTGCACACGAAGAGCACCTGAGGAGGGTGGAGAAAGGAAACAGGACAGCAAGAAGATATCTGAAACATAAGGAGGCAATAAGGCAGGGGCGCAGGATGGTTTCAAGCATGTTGGCCGTGCATACAAACAGCACCTGAGTGGGTGAGGTGGGATTGAGAGGGGTTATTGGCAACACGAGGATCCCACCAGCCAAATCACCTCCATGCGATCCAGCAGGGGCGCAGGTATGGTCTCAAGCATGTTGGCCGTGCATACAAACAGCACCTGCAGGGGGGGAAGTGGGGGCAGGGCAGGGAGGGATCGAGAAGGTCAGTAGCCATACCCGGAATAGGTCTAGTGGCACTTGTGGCACTTTTGAGTCAACTAAGAAAGACACATGACACACCTTGTTCAGGTGTAACCGCACGTCCTGGTAATGGAAATTACGCGTGCTCCTCTGCTCACCTTTGAGAATTCTCAAAAGCGACTCAGGTCTGACCGCACGTCCTGGTAATGGTCGAGGAATGACGCGTGCTCCTCTGCTCACTTGCACTTGCCACACTCGCCCGTAGCAGCAGTCACACACAGGCCTACCTTGGAGAGGTCGAGTTTTGACTTTTGAGGCGCCTCAAAAGTGCTCCTCTGCTCACTTGCACTTGCCACACTCGCCCGTAGCAGCAGTCACACACAGGCCTACCTTGGAGAGGTCGAGTGGCACGTCCACGTAATGGTCCAGGAACGATGCGTTCTGCTCCATGCACTTGCTCTTGCATACACACTTGATAGGTGCACACAAGCAACTGACACCGACAGACGCACGAGGCTTGCCTTGGAGAGGTACAGGGGCACGTCCAGGTAATGGCCCAGGAATGATGCATTCTGCTCCGGATCCAGCATCTCCAGTAGCGCTCCTGCTGGATCACCCACATGTTCTCTACCCACTTGCACTTGCCACACTTGCACCACGCACACACAGGGCCTACCTTGGATAGATCGAGGGGCACGTCCAGGTAATGGTCCAGGAACGATGCATTCTGCTCCGGATCCAGCATCTCCAGTAGCGCTCCTGTTGGGTCGCCTGCATGGCCTCTACCCAGCTGCACTTGACACACTTGCACCAGTCACACAACACAAATCACATACCTTGGAGAGGTCCAGTGGCACGTCCAGGTAATGGTCCAAGAACGATGCATTCTGCTCCGGATCCAGCATCTCCAGTAGCGCCCGTGCTGGGTCGCCTGCATGGCCTCTACCCAGCTGCACTTGACACACTTGCACCAGTCACACAACACAAATCACATACCTTGGATAGATCGAGAGGCACGTCCAGGTAGTGGTCCAGGAACGACGCGTTCTGCTCCGGATCCAGCATTTCCAAGAGTGCCCCTGCTGGATCGCTCGCGTGGCCTCTACCCACTTGCACTTGCAGCAGCTATACAAGGCCCACGCACCTTGGACAAATCGAGTGGAACGTCCAGGTAGTGGTCAAGGAACGACGCGTTCTGCTCCGGATCCAGCATCTCTAGTAGTGCCCCTGCTGGTTCCCATGTGTGTCCTCCTCACACAGGGCATACCTTAGATAGATCAAGCGGCACGTCCAGGTAGTGGTCCAGGAATGATGCATTCTGCTCCGGATCCAGCATCTCCAGTAGCGCCCCTGCTGGGTCGCCTGCATGGCCTCTACCCAGCTGCACTTGACACACTTGCACCAGTCACACAACACAAATCACATACCTTGGAGAGGTCCAGTGGCACGTCCAGGTAATGGTCCAGAAACGATGCGTTCTGCTCCGGATCCAGCATCTCCAGCAGTGCCCCTGCTGGATCGCCCGCATGACCCCTGCCCAGCTGTTGGTGAGGGAAGGGAGGCGAGAGGTGCAGGAAAGAAAGACGTACGGATGGGTTGAGAACAGGGAGGGGCGAGGTGAGGAGAGGTAAGGAGAGCAAGGAGCAGGCAGTGAGAAGGATGCGGCAGTTTGAATACAGAACGAGTCCAACCTTTACAGAGAACCACTTATTGTGTGCTCACACCACCACACACTACGCCCCATCACTACACGCCCCAACCTACACACCCCACACCCCACGTACCTTGTCAATCCCGTCAATAAGAACAAGCGGGTTGCCCATCCCCGTGGACTTGAGGCACTGCACCATCTTGTGTGTTTCCCCCATCCCATGCCTCCCTCAGTGATGCTTAATGATGCTCACACCCCATTACCACACCCCACGAACCTTGTCAATCTCGTCAATAAGAACAAGCGGGTTGCCCACCCCCGTGGACTTGAGGCACTGCACCATCTTGCCTGGCATGGCGCCCACATACGTGCGCCGGTGACCCTGATAGGGGGAGAGAGAGACGACAATGTAGAGTTGGTTATCAATGATGGGGAACTAAAATAGTTTCTTTGAGGAGATAGAAATATCGACGCACCGAAAGGCCGAGGCGTCTCAGGATTACGCTCCAAGCTTCCAGGCTTCCAAGAATTCAGCGAGGACGGAGACAGAGGAACAAGTGGAGTTAATGGAACAGATGTGCGGACACTTCAGACTAGAAGGCCCACATTGACCCCTGCCACGTCATGCATGGCCCACCTTAATCTCTGCCACGTCAGACAGCCCTCCAACAGAGAAGCGGTAGAACTTGCGGTCCAGGGCATTGGCAATGGAGCGACCAATAGACGTCTTCCCCACCCCTGGCGGGCCCACCAGACAGATGATCTTGCCTGGCATGATCGCACACACACACAAAGGGTGACAAGGAAAGAGACAGAGAGTGACAAGGGACGAGGGCCAGAAGTGATGTAGAACTTGCGATCCAGGGCATTGGCTATAGAGCGACCGATGGACGTCTTCCCCACTCCTGGCGGGCCCACGAGGCAGATGATCTTGCCTGGCAGCATGTGGAAACACACACAAAGGGTGACAAGGAAAGAGACAGAGAGTGACAAGGGACGCGGGTCAGAAGCGGTAGAACTTGCGATCCAGGGCGTTGGCTATGGAGCGACCGATGGATGTCTTTCCCACTCATGGCGGGCCCACGAGACAGATGATCTTGCCTGCAGCGATGGCACATGCAGAGGGTGACATGACAAGAGAGGAAGAGCAACAAGGGATGCATGTTGGGAGAAGCAATAGAACTTGCGATCCAGGGCATTGGCTATAGAGCGACTGATGGACGTCTTTCCCACTCATGGCGGGCCCACCAGACAGATGATCTTGCCTGCAGCGATGGCACATACAGAGGGTGACATGACAAGAGAGGAAGAGCAGCAAGGGATGAAGGTTAGATAGACGGTAGAACTTGCGATCCAAGGCTTTGGCTATGGAGCGACCGATGGACGTCTTTCCCACTCCTGGCGGGCCAACAAGGCAGATGATCTTGCCTGGAGGGGCGAGGCAACACACAAACGGTAACACGAGAAGAGAAGACACATGGGAGAAAGAGAGGGTGGAGAGTGGTACAGTGGCATGGCATGGAGGAGGATGATTTTTGAGTCGACTCAAAGTATTCAGCACAGGTCCATCCGGCCAGACGTGACATGAACTTGCGGTCCAGTCCAGGGCGTTGGCAACAGAGTGACAGATGGTCGTCAACGCACCCATACCCACTTACCCACCCACCCATACAAACCACACCAACCATGCGTGCTGCCCTTGAGCCTTCCCACAGCAATGAACTCGAGAATGCGCTCCTTCACGTCTGTCAGCCCGTAGTGATCCACATGGACCCACTTAACCACTCATCTACCCACACACCCATAGTTCACAGCACATACCATGCGTGCTGCCCTTGAGCCTTCCCACAGCAATAAATTCAAGAATTCGCTCCTTCACGTCTGTCAGACCATAGTGATCAGCGTCTAACACCTGCTGCGCCCGCACCACGTCCAGGTTCTCCTCACTGGGGGGGGAATGCGGCAAGGCCAGGATGGGGCCACGGCAGAAAGGGGAGAGGGAAAGGTAGCAGCAGCGGGGTCAGCCCGTATTGATCTGAGTCCAGCACCCGCAGTGCCCTCACCACATCGAAATTCTCCTCACTGGGGGGATGTACGAGGAGAGACTGTTGGAAATAGAAAGCACGAGGGCATGGGGTGCTTGCAGCAGTACCCATTAAAGACCCCATGCCCCATCTAAACGGTCTTGATATGACTCACGCACGCCCCATCTACTCACCCCCTCACCAGCCGCCCCCCCCTCGCTCCACCTGTAGTGCCTTCAGGGGATGGATGTGAGCCAGTCAAGGTAGTTGCGAGTCACGTTGAACTCAGACGAGGTACCCTCAACCCACCCACCCAGCCAATCACCCATCCACTCATCCAACCTCCACCCACTCAGTCACCCATCTCCCCCTGCTTCCCCTCACCTGTAGTGCCCCCAGGGGATGGACGTGAGCCAGTCAAGGTAGTTGCGAGTCACGTTGAACTCTGACGAGCTCGCCTCCAGCCCCTGCAGCTTGGCCATCTCGTCCTCTATCACCTGGTGGAATGACCAACGCGTAAGGGCGGGAAAGAGAAAAGAAACAAAACAAACAACAAAAGAGTTGAAATCGCGAAAGGGATACACGTAAAGTGCATCAATCTACCTTGTCAACGTGAGTGGACTATTTTGCTACCAATGCCCATTTCTAAAGCCTAATCTAAGACTAGATTGCCACCTGCATGGCTGCTGGCGGGCAGTTCTTCTGAAACGGCTGAAGCTTCTCCTTGAAGCGACCTGAGAAGACGTCGGATGGGATGTCAGAGGTGAGTGAGGGGCGAGCAAGAAGTAGGAAATGAACATGGCTCAATACATGGAGCGTGAGTGAGAGGCATGCACAACCTTAAGGTTGTGGCGCCTCAAAATACATAGACGGCATGGAACTTCCACAGCATGGTATGGTATGGCATGGCATGGCATGGCATGTCTCACCAATGAGTGCAGTCTTATCATCCTTCTCAAGCCCCAGCTCCTGCACACCACGAGTGGCAAACGATGGGACGTCAGAGCAGCAAAAGAGGCGATGAGAGAAGAGAAAGAAGACTGAATGCGTCATAGAAAAAGATGCCCAAACCCTCACCCCCTTAATCCCTGCTCACCTTCTTGATCGCTTTGAGCTGCTCCATCAGCATGTATCTGCGGCTCTCCCCGGCCAGTTTCTCCTCCACGCCCTTGGCGATGTTGGCCTGTCAATACAGAACGTTACAGACAAGGGCGTAACGGACAAGGGAGCCAAGGAAAAGCTTAGGCCATTCAAGGCATGTACCGGCGGCTCTCCCCTGCCAGTTTCTCCTCCACTCCCTTGGCGATGTTGACATGTCAGGTCGTATCCCTGGCAGGTGGCAGTTTTGAGCAGGTGGCAAACGCATTTCCCGCTTGACACCAGGTGGAGCCGCGCTAACTCACGCTTCCAGCCTGGGGTCAATGTTTGAACACATTGGGCGAATTTCATGCGAATTTCTCTCCAGCACAGTTCTGCTACCTGGAGGACTAGACCTCCCGATGTGTGCAGATGTTTACAACTGCCACCTGCACAAACTGCCACCTGCCAGGGATACGACCTCAGTGCAGTGCAGCACGGGTAAGGGAGCCGTGGAATATTAAAAGGTTAGACCATTCAAGGCATGTATCTGCAGCTCTCCCCTGCCAGCTTCTCCTCCACGCCCTTGGCAATGTTGGCCTGCCAGTGCAATGCAGGGTGCCACAGGTAAGGCCATCACGGACAAGGGAGTTCAGCACTAGGGACTTGTGGACAAGGTGAGGCCCTTCAAGGCATGTACCGGCGGCTCTCCCCTGCCAATTTCTCCTCCACGCCCTTGGCAATGTTGGCCTGTCATTGTAGTGTAGTGCAGCACAGGTAAGGGAGCCACATATAAGGGAGTTGGGGATAAGGTTGAACCATTCACGGCATGTACCGGCGGCTCTCCCCGGCCAACTTCTCCTCCACGCCCTTGGCGATGTTGGCCTGTCAGTGCACAAGGGAATTGAAGATCAGGAAATTTGAGGTTAGGCTGGTTAGTCAAGCGGTTCACAGGTAAAGGAGGAGTAAATAAGAAAGGTAGACACAAAGAAAACAAGGAATGATGCGGAATGGACATGGTGAAAATTCAAAACGATGGTAGTGGTAATGGTAGTGGTAGTGGTAATGGTAATGGTAATGGTAATGGAAATGGTAATGGTAATGGTAGTGGTAGTGGTAATGGCAATGGCAGTGGCAATGTCAATGGTAATGTTAATGGTAGTGATAATGGTAAGGTAGTGAGAGTGGTAGTGGTAGTGGTAATGGTAGTGGTAGTGGTAGTGGTAATGGTAATAGTAATGGTAATGGTAATGGTAATGGTAATGATAATGGTAATAGTAATGACAATGATAATAGTAATGGTAATGGTGATGGTGATAGTGATGGAGTTGATGATGGTGATGGTAATGGTAATGATAGTAGTAATGGTAGTGGTAATGATAGTGGTAATAGAGTAATGATAACGGTAATGGTAGTAGTAATGAAGTAATGATAATGGTAATGGTAATGATAATAGAGTAATGGTAATGGTAATGATGATAGTGTAATGGTAATGATAATGGAAATGGTAATGGCAATGGTAATGGTAATGGTAATGGTAATGGTAATGGCTATAATACTGGTAATGGCTATAATAATGGTAATAGTAATGGTAATGGTAATGGTAATGGTAATGATAATAGTAAAAGTAATGGTAATGATAATGGTAATGGTAATGGTAATGATAGTGGTAATGGTAATGATAATGGTAATGGTAATGGTAATGGTAATGGTAATGGTAATGAGCACATCACCTCACCTGCAGCTTGGCAAGCTCTAATTCTTTCTTGAGCAGCATGAGCGCGAGAGACAGGCGCTTGCCCACCTGGGAGAGTAGGGATGGAAAAGGGGGAATTGACAGAAGAGGAGGGAGAGGAGGAGGTAGTCATTGGATGGAGGGAGAAAGCAAGTGAACAAATGTGCAGACACGAGCAAATGCATCCGCCACACCAGAGACAACAAAAGCATGCACACACATCCACATGCAGTATGCAATGCCACCACGACTCACATCCAGCTCTTCTAACACCGACTGGAGAGTCGGCTCGTCCGCAGTAGTAAGCGCCGCCCCAAAATCCGCCATTCTAGAAGCGTTGAACTCCCCCACGTGCTGTACGAACATGGCGATGTGCTCCTTGTACAGCGGGTTGTGCCTCACGAGACACCGGGGGTGAGTGAGGGGGTGAGGGTGACTCACATCCAGCTCTTCCAGGACCGACTGTAGCGTCGGCTCGTCAGCAGTGGTGAGTGCCGCCCCAAAATCAGCCATGCGGGAGGCGTTGAACTCGCCCACGTGCTGTACGAACATGGCGATGTGCTCCTTGTACAGCGGGTTGTGCCTCACGAGGTCCTTGAGCGTGCTCACCACCTCCATCACCGTGGCTTTAATCATCACGCTGTTGCTGTCGTATGGGAGGTCCTGATGGAAACGGGGAGGTGCAGAGGGGTGCAATGCGGTGCAATGTGGTGCAATGTGTGCAAGAGGGTAAATGTTGTGCCTCACGAGGTCCTTGAGCGTGCTCACCACCTTTATCACTGTGGCTTTAATCATCACGCTGTTTCTGTCGTATGGAAAACCGTGGTGTATGGGGGAGTGCAATGCGGTGGTCCACAGTGACAGTGAGCGGGTCCTCCCCCACCATGCCTGTGAGCCACAGCTCCATGATATGAGGGACCTACAATGCCTATGATATGAGGGGTATCGCTCCCCACCCATCCCCACCCATCCCCACCCATCCCCACCCATCCGCACCTTGACATGGTCCACGGTGACAGTGAGTGGATCCTCTGCCACTATGCCTGTGATCCTCAGTCACATGTATGTTCCACATCACAGAAAGCAGCACTGCCACCGCATCCCACCCATCCGCACCTTGACATGGTCCACAGTAACCATAAGGGGGTCCTCTGCCACCATGCCTGTCAGCCTCAGTCGCATACGAGCACTGCCATTCCAACCACACATCACCTGCTCCCACCGCACCCCACCCATCCGCACCTTGACATGGTCCACAGTAACCGTAAGGGGGTCCTCTGCCACCATGCCAGTCAGCCTCAGCCGCCGGTGCCCCATCAGCAGCACCTGCGCCGAGTCCCCATCCAACGGCTTGATCACCTGCATCACCTGCAGGGAGAGAGGAGAGGGAGGAGAGGCGTGGAGGGCGGAGTGTGAGAGGAGAGAGGTGGCTTGCTTACCAGCATCAACGGCTTGAGCACCCTACCATTGCCTTCAAACCACACTAAACCCATCGACCCTCCACCGCTTCTCACCTGGGCAAACGCCCCTGTTTCATGCAGCTTGTTATACAGCTCCCCTCCCTTGATAAATACCTCTCCTCCACCGCATAACTACCAGCATCACCAGCACCCACAGCTTATCATATCTCTCCACCCCTTCTCACCTGGGCGAACGTCCCTGTCTCATGCAGCTTGTTATACAGCTCCCCTCCTTTGATAAACGCCTCCCCTCCACCCCCACCCGCAACACCTTCCCCCTCTCCTCCCCCCTCGCCCAACCCCACACCTGCCCCTTCCGCCCCCCCTTCCGCCTGCCCTCCCCCCGCCCCTGCTCCCTCCCCACCGACCGCCCCCCTGCCCCACTCCTCCCCCACGCCGTCACTCCTCTCTGGTCCCAACTCGCGCCTCCTGCTGCTGCTTGCCGCTGCTCCCTCTGCTCCCTCTGCTCCTGCTGCACCAGCTGAGGGATCGCCAGCAGCAGCGGCAGCAGCAGCGGTGGATGCAGCAGAAGAATGGGAAGAAGCAGCATGGTCATCTCGCACGAGGAACGCGCCCACATAGGGCGTTCCTTGCGCCTTCAACTCCTGCAGTGCAGCTACCAACTTGGGGTTCTGGAGAGGGAGGGGGAGGGGGAGGGGGAAAGGGGGGGGAGAGGGGAGGGGCGGGGGGGGGGGGGGAAGGAGGGGGAAGGGGGAGAGAGAATCACCAGAGGTAGCGGCAGAAGCAGCGGTGGAGGCAGCAGAATGAGAAGTAGCAGCAGCATGGTCGTCTCGCACGAGGAACGCGCCCACATAGGGCGTGCCCTGCGCCTTGAGTGCCTGTAGCGCGGCCACCAGCTTGGGGTTCTGGGGTGTGGGGAGAATGGGGGGTCGTGGGGGGGATGGATAAGGGGTTTTGAGAGCGTGGAGACGTAGGGAAAGGGGAGGGCGTGCGGTGTAGAAGAGTGCTTGCACCAGCCTGGGGTTCTGCAGCCAGAGGGGAAGGGGGGGTGGGGGGGGGATGGATAAGGGGTTCGGAGAGTGAGGAGACGTAGGGAAGAGGGAGGGCGTGCGGTGTAGAAGAGAGCTTGCGCCAGCCTGGGGTTCTGCAGCAGCGGGGAATGGGGGAAGAGAGGGAGGGGGGGGGGAGCATGAATGCACGTAGAGGAAATACAAAGAAAGGGAACATACTGTATGCGTGGCCGCACCTTGACTATAACGGGGACGTAGAAGCCTGGGAATAGTGGTCTGCGCGTGAGCGGAATCGCGAGCACTTTGGGGTAATGCTCAGGGCGCGGACCCGCGGGGACGATGGACGTCTCCTCCGCCAGCCCCCCGCCTTCCCCTGCTCCTTCCCCCGCTGCGCCTTCCCCCATGACGAATTCCGCCCCGCCCTCCGCGGACGCGCGGGCATTTTCCCCCGCAATTCCCCCCACGGGATTCCCTTCCCCATGCGCAGCCGCGTCAGCGTTAGCAGCCGCTGCGGCGGGAGCGGAAGCGGCTCCCCTGACTTCCGTGGCGGATTTGATCCGCGAATCACGCCGTCGAATGCGGCCGCGCCGGGCGCCATGGTACCCTGCGTGCGCTACGGCATCGGCTGCGACTTCCTCCCCCACTGCTTCCGCCGACGCCTCACTAGCGGCGGCTTCCCCCGCCGCTTCCCCCGCGCCTTCCGCCGATGCTTCCGCCACGCGCGCGGATTCCCCTGCGCCTTCCGCAACTACTTCCCCCTCGAGTCCCCTTGTCACATAATCTCCTTTTCCGCTTGCACTCGGCGCATCCGCCGCCGAATCCCCCTTCGTGCTTCCTGCATTACTCCCGTTCCCTGAATCTCCGCCGGAATTTGCGGTGAATCCGCGGATCCATGCGGTTCCGGCGGCGGCCTGAGCCTGATCCAAGAGAACTAAGACTCGGTACTGGACTGGCTGGAGCGCGCGGTGCGCTGCGGATGGGTGCAATGCAGTGCAGAGGACACGATCGAGGCGCCGTGGTAAGCACGGCTTTAGAGCTGCCAGCATGGCAACTAGGGGAGTGGCACTAGGCCAACCTACTGCCAAACTATGCTGTCTACCAGGATCATGAAATAGCCGACCAGTAGCATTCAAATGTGCTGATTCAGCAGCAATGAAACAGTGCGAGCGAATGTGCAAACAGTTGCTTTGCTAAGAGGGTCAATTGCTGAGAAATTTGGGCTGGGAAAAGCTTAGCTAAGAATCGCTAGAAGGAGCTCCAGTTGCGTGAATCAGAAGCGAGCTGACGTGGTAGGATGGCCACGCTCCTGTCGAATCGCCAGAATGTTCGACCAGATGCAAGGATTCCTCAATAGAATTCGCCTCGATAATGTGTACACGAGAAACAGCGATACATGCGAAACCCGAAAGGAGAAAATGCAGAATATACTTTCACGAACGGGATCCCACATTGTCGAAAGCTACTGAAATGGTAACCGCCACTTCTTCGCGCCACTTTCTGCCTCGTGGACCGCCCCGAAGACTCCAGCGGTTCAAAAATGGCGGAGCGCCCTTGAGCAAGTCCACGTTGTGCTGAATGCTGCGATGATGGTAACCGCTCGCTGAAAGTCAGCCAGTTGACGCTCCAACTGACATCCACCGAGTTTCGCCGAGATCGGGGAGGGTTATTTCCACTTTCGCGCACGGAATTCGACCAATCATCCGAGGCCTGACGTCTGACAAGCGTGAGCGTTGGGCGGGAGGATTCTGGAACAGACAAAAGTCAGCGGGCTTCGCTGTGGGGCTGTGGTGCGGTGCCACCGAGCCGCACAACCCCCTGCTGGCATTCACACCCGCAACCGCAACTCCCTAACCCTTCAAAGAAAAATTCAACCACTTTGTAAGACTTTGTAACCGTTATCACATCCTACGAAACCGTACTCTAGTGGAGTCTTCTGGCACCTCCTAATGGATTGACGCTCCACTAAAATAGAATCATCTGACGCCCATGTCCGCCAAAGAAGGGGCACTTGCACTGGAAAGCAAAGACGTATCGATACGAGTTGGGGATGTAGTTATAAGAGCAACCGCTGAGCATTGGGTTGGAAGGTACTATGCAGAATCAGCGAGGTGCGAGAATAACAGTACGCGAAGGGGTTAGATGAAGCATCAGCCGGAGGCGGTAACTATCCGCTCCGTCATAGCAACGCCTGCGGTATTCATTCCATTCCGCTCAGATGCTGAATTGATTCAAGCATCCTATTCGGTCCATATTTAACCACACAATTCGGGAAAGAAATCACAAAACGTCAAGCTCCCCGTTCATCACCGCTATCCTAAATTTCAGCCTCGTGTTGTTCGGAGTGGAAGCATTTTCCAGATAAACAGCCTCAGATTCATTATCCCTTTTCCTCGATTTCTCAAAACGCTATCGTGCTATCCTTCAATATTCTCTGTCAATGCCACGCCGAATTACAAAAGAATGAGTCCGATTCGTTGCCATGCCCTCGAGCCCAACATTTCCAGCAAAAGCACCAGCGTCGTCGGAGTGATAAGCAGCTGTTGGTCCACCCTAACCCCAAACAACCTCCTTCCAGGAGACATCATTCTCGCGCTTCACCCTGTCGCCGCCTCCCCTTGCCCCGAAGACGCAGCGGCGCACGCGGCGATCAGCCGGACCGCGGATTCGAGTCGGATCCGTCAAGTGCCGACTCTGCGTCGTCTGGTTGACATGGTTGCTGTGGGATGTGCCGCCGGAGCGTTTCGCGGATGCACGGCGACTCTCACGGTGCTTCGAGGGACCAGGTAGTAATGTCTTTACGAATAATGATAACATTTGTCCTGACGATTCTCTCCTGTCTTTCTTTCGTTGTGTTATGTTCTGTTCTGTTCTGGTTTTGTTTTTCCATATCATGTTGTTTTGTTATTATGCTCGTTTGATTTCGTCTCTTCACCATCTGTTGTTGTCCATCTTTATCCCCTGTAACCGGAGTAACCTCTCCTCCATGGGCAGCAAATTCATTACAGCAGTGCAGATTTCGCCATCAGCTTTGGCACAGGGAACTGCATCTCAAATCACGGAGACCGAACCGTGCCTACCCGAATTCCAATCCATCCTAAGACCGTCGAACCGTCCGTCTCCTTGCGGTTCGTGCATTTTTCAAGGCGTGACTATTGCGGAAGGGAGCCATCAGCTGTTCGCCCCCCTTGCTAGAAAAACGGAAGCCACCATTCTCCGTTTGGATCAGCTCAAGGCTTTGCGACATGCTACCAGCAAGGCAGCATGGCCGCGCCCTGTGAACCTTCCAGGATGTCACATTTCTTCGCCTGGAACTCAGGAGACTCAGCATATGGGAAGGGCAGCGGTTGCTAAAGGCAGGGGCTCAGCTTCACTAAAGGAGTCATTGCGCATGAAGTGGCCGACGCAGGCTAGGGCGGAGGCTACTGCATGCTATGGAGGATGCGACCTTGAGGCTATTCAAGGGTCAGCTGCATACTGTAGCGGTGTTGATGCCTCGTTTGGTGGATACTTCAGCAACTCTGAAGCGTTTATGGAGCCGGTTATTGGAAGAGATGAAAACGAGCCGCTGTACAGGCCGCTGCTGGTAGATTTCAGCCGCGGCTGGCGGCAGAGGAGGGCTGGTGACTTGGCAGCATCTGGATCTGCATGACAGGATGGTGCTGCAGGATAAGGCGTTCAAGAAGCACATCCGGACGCCGTTGGGGTGAAAGAAGAGGGGTTTTGTTGTGGAACCAGCGCTGGGTAACTGGAGGGGAGGATTTTGGAAAGAGCTGTGCTGTTTGGGAGTTAGGAGTGATGATACTTGAAAGGAGGAATTTTGTGGCAGTTAATTATGAGGATAGTGGGTCGCTGAGCATGGGTAGTCCCTTGAGGACGGTGCTGGAACAGCTGGAGGATTGATGGGTCCGTCGACGGGGCTGGTGTCATCAGATAAAGGCTTTCTGCTTACTCTCCTGAAGCTAATCAGGGCCATGCAGGGTACTTCTGCAAACGGTATGTCTGCAGGCAACATACGCAGGTCTGCTAGCAGCTTTTCCTTTTGCATTCACAAGGCAGCTGGCCGAGTGACAGCAAGGGTTTGTCATTCTATCTGTCTCCATCTCGCTGGCCTTGTGAATGCAAAAGGGGGAGCTTGGTATGGTTGTAACCTTTGTTTTGCATGCTGTAACCGCAAACGCTGCAAAACTTATCAGCATGGGTTTTACTGGGATTATCTTTTGCCTGAACATTCGGTAATTTCATAAGGAAACCCACCTAACACACACTCCATTGCAAACCTGCTTAGCCAACAGAGTACACCTAGCTCCTGTGGTAAATGTTGCTACGCTCTCTCCACCATATATGCGGGCAGCATCATTCCAATCAGCCAGCGTCCTTCAGCCTCGCTCTCCAATTCGGCATGTCAGAAGGAGCCAACGTAAGAACAGCACCAGGCCCAACATTGTAATCTGACAGGAGCATGTGCGCATCCTTCATGTATGCCGCCTGATTTCCACAGACGTAACTTTGGTTCAGGATGCTGAACGGTTTCATCCAACGGCCATCGTGAAGCAGCATCTGCTGGGAGATAGGTATGTCAGTGGATTTCTGAATCGTGGACATCACGGATTCGACGGTCGCTTTGGGAGATTCCACTTCTAGGACATAAAAGCTGCCATTGAGGGAGTTTTTTATCAGCAGCTGCATTGGAGTCGCGACCAAGGAGGACCTAGCCAGATCAAACTCTAAAGCTTATCAGCCGCACCAAGCGTAGCTGCGGTCCCAGCAATTCGACAATGGTGACCCGTTCCGTAAGGAACCGCACCAGAAGGTCGCAGGAGTCCAAGCCGATCATAACTGAAGATGGTTTCTAAAGGTCCAGCTTTGACGAGGTACATGCTGGCAGTGAAGCGAAATGTCATACTGTAGTAACGCATTTAGAAGGGTCACAGGTATCGAGCGCTTCGGCTCTGGTGTTTCGACTGAGGTGCAAGCGCAACGTGGAATGATAAGACGGCACTAGGTTGCGGGCCTACATGCACGCTGAATCTCGAATCGCGAAAGGAGTTTCGGGCCGCATCTTCCGCTGAAGCACGTGGCGGACTCTAAAATACAGAACTACGTCTATGCGACGTGCGACATATTACCCCCTGTAACATGCTTCGCAAATTACACTCTTGGGAATGCTGCTTGGGGCTCCTGCATGGTTGTCTGCCATCTACCACCCGTACCTGCTAAACCTAGCCTGGCGGTCACGAACCAGCATATCGGTATGGCTGGACACATTGGTCAACCCCGAACCTAAATAGTCTTCTTGGTTTCGCGGTTACTGTGGGCCTTTATCGAGAGGGACCACCCCACCAAACCAGAAGCAAGCTCCAAATTTGGTGGTTTGGTTGTACTGTACACTCTGATGCTGCCTTCCAGCTCACCATAGGCTCGGAACACGTGCCAGTGGCGACAGTGAACAGCTGGCTCCTGGTTGTTCACGCCTCATGCATTTGACTGGTTGATCGCAAGCAGTTCAACTGCTGCCCCGCCCAGCCTCAGCAGATGTTCCCAACCAACCAACCCCTCAAATCCCTTCACTTCACCGTTCCCAACCAACCAACCCCTCAAATCCCTTTTTTTCTACACTGGTGGGGGTTTCATGTTCGGGATTCGGGAACCTGGACTGGTATAACAGCTGGTCAAAGGATGTTCCGCATTCCCTACTGTGTTTCCCTATCCCCCTCCAACTGTACCCTTTACTATGGGGGATGGCTGGTTTCACTCCCTCCCCTCTCATCTCAGGAGGGCTCGTGAACAAACGAATTCGTGACAAATGCAGAAGAAACTGCCATAGAGCAACGTAGGGCGCGTTCCTGGCCAGTGTCAAGCTTCCGGTCATCCGCGGATGACCGGAAGTTGGACCCACTTTGGGCCATCCGAGACCAACTTCGGGTCTTCCGGCCAAAAATTGCCCCTGTTTCTGGAAGACCTGAAGTTTGACAGGGAGTTTGACCCAAAGCTTCGGGCCTTCCCGGGAAGGCCCGAAGCTTGACACGGGCCAGGAACGCGCCCTAAAGAGCAGGCATGCACCCCACAGCAAGCCAGCATGCTGCTGTCGTCGAGTAACGGCTATAACCAGAATGACTGCACGCTAGGCAACTTGTCCCCCGTACTATTCCTCGCACTCACGAAACGAAAGCTTGTTCTGCTCCAGTCATCCACCACATTTGACTAGCAGAATAACCATGTAATGTACCAGTCCCTCCTCTCCACCCAACAATTACAGAAGAATTTCGTCGTTCCAGACCGAGTACATCGCCGCATAGACTTCTGTTTGCATTCTTTTGATTTCAACATCAACCCCCTTTGGTCATAGGTTCTGCGGTTTGTCGCTTCGTGCGGTTGAGCGGTTCTTGTACTTTCGTAAGGCCGTATAACTGTGGGATATCATCCTTCCGCGAGTCTTCTGTTCTGCCCGCTGACGTCTGTGTCCACACCTTCATCCCGTTTCTGCCTCGCCATACGACAGTAGCTACTTATTAGCTTACGGTTACCCGTATCTCAGAACCATCCGCTGGCACAAACACCGAATTCTGCTGTTGCGGCCTCCTCTCACTATTAGTCACCAGGATTTTCGTCTCAAGAATACCGTATATTAGTCGGTGTACGGAAAATAGGCGCTCAATAAGCACAGCCATTTTATTCACCTAGTTTTGTTGTTTCTCGTCGTAGGCGAGCTTTAAGTACGGCTTAGTAGCAGCGAGTACAGCTTTACTGCTTTGAACTCACTCGAGGACTCTCGTAACCTCGCTACACCTCTAATATCGTCGCGATGCCTCTGTCGAAGCGCGTCGACCGCCTTTACGGCGTGGGTGACGGCCGCACCGTCGTCCTCGCCGTCGACACGTGCAAGGGTTGTATATCCGCGTTTGAAGACCTCCTGTCTACAGGCTACAAGTCCACCTCGTTCCTTGGTACGCACGAGAACCCCGCCGCGCGGGGAGAGTTCCGCCTATCCTCCGCGGACCGCCTGATTGTCGTCTTTCACCGCGGGCATCACCTTCCGTCTCCGCTGCTGCTCCGCCGCTCGCGGAGCGACGTCGCCGCGCAGCACCAGCAGCTGCTGACGACGCTTCCGCCGCCCACTTCCCCCCACCTCCCCCCGACGGCGCAGCCGTCCCCGCACCAAACCTCCCTGCAAAAAGGGGCGGCGGCGATGTTCTCATTCCTCGCCAGTCCCCGCGCGCGGTCAGGCTCGTCAAGCCAGCAGCAGCAGCAGCAGCCGCACCAGAAGGCACAGGGCCAGTGGCCGCGCTCTTTATCGGGTAGCCAGCAGCAACAGCAGCAGCAACGGCAGCAGCAGCAGGTGCAGAATCTGCATGCGCCGAATCACTGGCCCAGGTCGCGTTCAGAGGCGGGAGCCGGAGCAGCAGCAGGCACCGCAATGGCGGACGGCAATTCACCACCCCCTGATGTCGGTACGTTCTTCGCCTCTGGAAACTCTCCCAAAACAAAACCGCAATTTCAGCCCTTCCCCCCCCCCCTCTTCCCCCTCTCCGACGTTGGTACGTGCTCTCGTTGCCTTCGAAAATTCTCTAAATTGCCTAAAACATGAGAGTTTTCACAAGGGATCGCAATGGCGGAGGGCAGTTCACCTGTCCCGTGATGTGGGAGCAATGTATTCTTGCCGTTTTGTGGGCATCTTTGGCCCATTGTGTTTTGTACTGCATTGGGTCCTTCCACTGACGTCCTTTCTTTCAACGTCTCCGTTACAGATCACCCTGCGGCGGCGCAAACTCAGCAGCTCTCCACTTCAACTGACAGCAAGGCTGACGTGGAAACCGTGGTTGTGGTCCCATCAACGCCTGCTAAAGAAGCGACTGCGAAGCTCGCTCGATTTCACGGGCGGACGAAAGCGGCAGCGCTGAAGATGGCCGCCATGGCTCGGTCTTACAGGGTATGTACGTGTGGGGTGTGGAAGGTGTACCTTGGGTGTAGCATTGTATTTTTACCCATATGGGACGATAAGTGAGACAAAGTGCTGGCAAAGGGTAGGGGATCAACTTTTCTAAAGTAGATTCAGAAAATGCGTTTGTCTTCAAATTTTATGATCATGAGGATCTGACGCCTTCCCTGTCCATCCTTGCAGGTGCGCTTCGAGGCTATTGACTTGGATGACCTCCAAGGATCAGCTGCTCCTGAACTTGGCACCTGGGACCCACATTCCCAACCGCCCCATCAACAAGCTGCAATCCGGCTAGCACAACCGCTTCCGCATACCTGGGAAGGAACAGCTCAGGCGATCCTTTCTTTCTGTAGTAGGATGGGAGCGGATCACTTGCTTCTGCCCGCCACGCATGTGTGCGGGTTGAACCTAGGAGCTTGGTTCTCCTGCCGGGGCCTGACGACTCACTGTGTGAAGAATTCCCCGTGTCCAGTCACAAGGCTGGGCAGCACCAACCGGACAACAGAGGGACTGCGGGTTCAGGTAGCATCCAGCTGAAAGGCAGGAAATAAGTCGTTAAGTGTTAGGTGTGAAAGGCAGGATTTTGTGCGGACTGCCTGCCCATGTTAGGATCTTTGGGCTGCTCATCTCCTCGCACAGCTCGTGCACTTATAGTCATGTAGAAACTTGCTAGGGTTTAAAGGCAAATGTTTTTTGCTACCGTATTTTGTGTTGGCTTTTTTCACATCTAAAGTGAATCGAAGTGGACTTGGAGAGATTCTATCGCTGCCTGGCTTTCTATGCCATTAGCGGAGATTATTTGACGGCAGCACGAATGAGCCGAAACCAGCAGAATCAGCCGGTTATTCTATGCTTGTATGTCATTGGAGGTGGGCTCATTTATTGCCTGACGTCTGGCGTTACCACAGGCACCTCGGGAACGGCGACTCACGACACATTTCGGGAGATACAGCGAGTTTGACGACGAAACCACCAAACCAACCTGACGGTTTGGCGGGCGAGTGAGGCAGCCACGAACGAACGATGCCTCGGGATCTCCCGATGCCTGGGGATGTAGGAAGATGGACGGTTGGATTGGCCCCTCAAAACTATCGGCATTATCTGTCCTCCAATCTCATCATCCAGCTGGTTCCAACTGGTAGGCAGCAGGAAAGAGAAAAGCGGCGGTCAAAGGAGCTTGGTACGGTGAAGAGATATGGACAACGGTAACACGGGAAGTTTGCTCAAGTAGTAGTTGGTGCGGTGTGGGCATTCCCATGAGGGAGCTTGGCTTCGGTTCGCCACAGCTTGCTCGGGAGACGAGACCAGGGTTATGTGATGTTTTGTTAAAGCCCGAGTCCCAAATTGCGGGCCGCGCGGGTCAAGCTTTTAAAACTTGACGAACTAGTGTTTTCAAGGTTTGAAGAAAAGCGTGCCTGCAATTTGGGACTTTTGGGAACTGAACCAACCCCCAGGGCGAAATACGAGGGCGGGCTGGGTTTGGCGAAAAAAACGAAAAAAGCGAAATCGGAATCTTTCGCCAAAACCCTCACCACAAAAACCCCCTCGCGTCAACCTTTTAAAACTTGTGCAATTTGGGCTGCCGGCTTTAAGTTACCTGGATTGTGGCTTACCTCGGGGCAAGACTGACAAGGTAGCAAGTTGGTCTAGGATAGTATAGCTAGGATTTTCGTGGTGGTAACCTCTGCGGTTTCCCATCTGACGGGTGATCTTCCTGTCCCTATTCTTTATCAAGGAAAGCCTACGCTGGAATCAGGAAGTACTCGGTCAGGCCAGGCCGTCAGCACAGCTGACCACCCAACGGCGGCTTGTTAGTACTCTTATAGTACCCATTTGCCTCCTCGTCGTCAATCTCAGTGCGCAGACTATAAGCAACCATGAGGCGACGACATGAGTCCACCTGGGAGAAGCTGTTCCACTATCGGGGGGTCATTGTCGTCGTTTCCGTCCCCATCTTCCTCATTATCTTCATTATTCTATTTATGCCTCACGGGGAGCCAATCACGGACGACCGCGTCATCCATCACAGCGCAGCAGATGAAGTCAACAAGGCGGTGGCGAAGATGCAATCTGGAGGAGAGAACAAGTATGCCGTCATTATCGACGCCGGAAGCACTGGTAGCCGGATCCACGTGTACCAGTTCAACCCCAAACTCGAACTGATGGAGATCGGCAATGACTTGGAGTTGTTTGTTGCGGTACTTTTCCGTCCCTCCAATTTCGCTTTAAGAGAAAAATGACTTCGAAGAACTATTGGCATATGCAGTTTCCTTTCACAGCCGTTTCAGATGGCTGCACATTTAACGGTTGATAATCCAGATCTCGTCCTCAAAGGATGTGATTTCCTGATCTTGACCAGCATGGTTTGTTTTTGCCTCCGTTTCTGATTCCTTCCCTTAAGATGCCATCATTCGCACTTAAGGCATGGCCTCACCTGACAAATCGAGACTCGTATCGTTTGTCGTCATCATCTGCGTTGCAGCTCAAGCCAGGTCTGAGCTCGTTCCGCGAAAACGCCAAGGGAGCGGCGGACTCGCTCCGTCCGCTCATCGACAAGGCGCTCACCGTAGTCCCCGAGGAAGTCCGCTCCACCACTCCCATCCGCGTCGGAGTGAGTCTCGTTTTTGAAAATGCGGTGCACCGCACAGTGTCTGCATGACGAGCTCCGATTTTCCCATACTTTCTTTCGATATTGTGATCCGTTCTGCTCGAGAGTCGATCTGAGAAATACCGACATGCAATCCGTTTCCCCTGTGCAGGCAACGGCTGGTCTGCGCCTTCTCCCTGGCGACCTCGCGGACAACATTCTGGAAGCCGTAAGCTTATTATTTTACGACCCGCCATTGGTTCTCCCTCATCTTGACCATCGGTCCCATGAGCCCTTACATTTCCAGCTATATGTTTCGCCTCTAGTCTTGAGGATTATGTTTTCACGCGTCTGACTCGCCCTCTCGCCCTCTCACTCTCTCGCCCTCCTCAGGTTCGGGAGATGCTCAAGGAGTACCCTTTCACCTTCGCTGCCGATTCCGTTAAGATCCTCGATGGCGCCGACGAGGGCTCCTTCGCTTGGGTGAGTGCCATGCATGGTGCAAAAATACGATCGTTTTTTTTTTTTTTTTTTTTTTTTTTTTTTTTTTTTTTTTTTTTTTTTTTTTTTTTCCCCAAGAAATTACCTCCTCGGCAATCTCGGCAAGGACATCGGCCACACGGTGGGGGTGGTGGATATGGAAATCTACAGTCTGATTTTCACGATCTTACCATCCTCCGCTCTATATCCTTTCCCCCTGCAGGTGACGGTGAATTACCTCCTGGGGAATCTCGGCAAGGACATTAGCCACACGGTGGGGGTGGTGGATCTGGGCGGCGGGTCCGTGCAGATGACGTACGCGGTGCCTGATGACGTGGCAGCGAAGGCGCCCGAAGGCTACGTTCGGAGGCTGAGCGGGATGGGCAAGACGTACGGGGTTTACGTGCACAGGTGAGACCGGGTTTTTGAGGATGGATAAGCAGAACGAGCTTGATCAAGGCGCACAGGAGAGTGCAAAGAGAATCTTTCGCTATGGCCACGACGTACAGGGTGAATGTTCACAGGTGAGGACGCAGAGGGTTTCTCTTATGATGGGCAAGAAAGCGGTGCAGTATGAGGGGAAAGTGGGTCTTTTGAAATGCGCAAGCGTACAGAATATGCGCGCAAAGGGTGCCTTCACGGTGGCTGACGATGGGGTTTTTAAGGATCCAAAGAGTAGCTCCTGAAGAAAGCCAGGCAAGACGTACGGGGTCTAAGGGACATGTGGGGGCGAAGATGGTCTGTGCAAACAGTTGATTGACCTCGTTGGCTTAGCCAAGCTAAGCCTGACAATGTCTTTTGCCCTCTCGGACTGGTCTGGACAAGTTCGGTGTAGCGCATGTGGGTTTTGCTATGCAAGTCGCAGGGCAGCAGCAGTGTGGTTAGCGTGCTTGGCTCAGCGTTGTCCCACTGGAAGGGTTTAGCATCGCTGCCTCTGTCATCATCCGTGCTCTACTGTTCCATGTGTTTTGTGGCTTCCCCCCTATCCCTTGATGACCCCCCAGCTACCTGGGCTTCGGTCTGATGGCAGCGCGCGCACAGGTGCTCAAGGCGAAGCCAGCAGACAGCGAGGGGCATGCGTGCTTGCCCAAGGGCACTGATGGTGAGTAGTACACAGAAAGAGGGAAAACAAAACATGATTGAGAGTTTAGCTGATGCCAATGGTACTAGCACAAGGAGGGATGCCAGGGGGACAAAGGGCGATCACAAGGGAGGGGATGCAAGGGACACAAAGGAGGGCGAAGGAGGGGATGTAAGGCACTGGGACAGAAGGGGTGATTCGCATGTTCTGCTGGTCAACACGCCTCCATAGTGTAGCTGTCTCTACACTGTCCCGCGCTTGCAACCCCCATTCCATGGACTTTTTCCCTGCGCACTCAAACCAGAGAACAATAGATGGAAGCGATAGCTGAGAAGTGTTATTGTAGTCTGCTTGTGTTCCGTACAATGCTCCCACACCCACCAACCCAACCCCCCACCCCCTGGGCCCCCGCCTCCCCAAACCCACCCACCAGACAAGTATGTGTACGGCACAGAGGAAGTCAAGGCCCAGGCGCTGCCGACAGGAGGCAGTGCCAAGAGTGTGCAGTTTCTCTTCTTTTATCCTCTCTAACACTTCCCACCCCCAACCCCCCCACACCTAACCCAACTCCCTTCCCCTTCCACCAAACCCTCTCACCAGACAAGTAAGTGTATGGCACAGAGGAGGTCAAGGCACAGGCGCTGCCTTCAGGAGGCAGTGCAGCAGAGTGTGCGCTGATCGCAGCAAAGGCGTTAGAACTGGGAGGGGCCCTTGCTGGTGACGCTGCTCCGGCTTGCATTCCTCACAACCGTTTCCCACCCCTCTCAAACCCCCCCACCAGACAAGTACGTGTACGGCACAGAGGAGGTCCAGGCACAGGCCCTGCCAACAGCAGGCAGTGCAGCGGAGTGTGTACACTCTCCACTTGAATTCCTCACGACCGTATCCCACCCGCTCCCAAACCCTCCCACCAGACAAGTACGTGTACGGCACAGAGGAGGTCAAGGCACAGGCGCTGCCGACAGGAGGCAGTGCAGCGGAGTGTGCGCTGATCGCAACAAAAGCGTTGGAACTCGGGGGGGCTGCTGCTGCTGATGCCGCTCCTGTGTGCTCCTTCGAGGAGTGCACGTTCGGAGGGGTGTGGAGTGGTGGCCGGGGTCAGGGTGCCTCGAAGCTCTTCATTGCTTCCTACTTCTTTGACCGCGCTGGCCAGGTAAGCTGTTGTTTGTTGGTGATGCAGCTCTGTTGTGCTCCTTGGAGTAGTGCATGTTCTGAGGAGTGTGGGAGTGGTGGCCGGGGTCAGGGCGCCTCAAAGCTCTTCATTGCTTCCTACTTCTTCGACCGTGCTGGCCAGGTGAGTCAACCCACGATAACTGTAAGATAAGTTTATCGGTAAGCTCATTATTGTCTCGGGGCTGATCAGGTAAGCTGCTGCTGGTGACACTGCTCCTGCAAAGGGGATGCTCTTGGCAGTTGTGTGGGCTCAATCCTCTGCTTTCCAATGTTCCACACCATGATTCCCAGTGGCACGATTCCCTGAGTCCCCCAATTCCTCCCTGCATACTCCCACTCCTCCCTTGCATTCTCCCACTCCCCCCCCTTCGTTCTCCCACTCCCCCCCCTCCGTTCTCCCACTCCCCCCCCCCCCCCCCTCTGCGTTCTCCCACTCCCCCCCCCCCCCCCCCCCCCCCTCTGCGTTCTCCCACTCCCCCGCCTGCGTTCTCCCACTTCCCCCTGCAGCTTGGCGTTATTCCCGACCCCAAGGCTTCATCAGCTCCAGTCAAGGCAAAGGACTTTGCAGCGGCAGCTGAGGCTGCCTGTGCCACTCCTCTGGAGGAAGTCACAAAGAAGTTTCCTGCGGTGGATGGCAAGGACGCGCCATACATGTGCTTGGACGTGGTGTACCAGCACAAACTGCTCACCCACGGCTTCAGTAAGCATCACATATTTTTTTGTGTAATTATTTTATTTTGTCATTAGCTGTTTCATTCTTCAGCATTGGCATGAAATGTGGTGTCAGTGGCAAGCAAGCATATGATCTTGACTGTTTGCTCTGTTTATCCCCTACCTACTGTGTTTATCAGGGATTGATGATGGAGCAGAGCTTACGTTGGTGAAGCAGGTCACCTACAAGGGTAAGGATGTCGAGGCAGCTTGGCCGCTTGGTGCTGCCATTGATGCTATTTCGTCTTAGTAGCATTTGGATCACTGTAATATGTACTGAATGCTGGAAATTGCAGTATTGAAGCTCTGGAGTCTGGACTAAAGCACATTCCAATTTGAGCCAGGTTGAGTTTCAGCTATATGGTTCTTAGGGTAGCTAAGGTCAAAGCATTATGCCCGATAGGCTGTGTCTGAAGCAGAACATTATGGTGTGGTCCGCTATTGAGGCTGCCAGCTCCTCTTGTGGAGTGGGTGCACCGACCAAAAAGCGTCAATATCGCTTTGCACTTTATCATCAACCACGTGGAAATCGCAGATCTTTTCAATGAACAGATGGAAAGCGTCACATATTTGCTGTAATGCCTGCCCTGCTGTCGTAAGATCCTCTCACTTGCATCACCACTAGTGCCCCGGCCTCAATGGAATCCCGCCTACGTGGACTCGTTTGACACCCGTCGAAGTTTCAGAGGCCTTTCTAATGCCCACAAAATTTGACAGACCGTCCAAGGATAACGTAAATTCAGGGTCAAAGAGGATAGGGCTCTGCTTTGCTTTTGTGGCTCAGAGCCCATCGCCTCGCATGAGGACCTGCTTTGTCGTTGTGTGATCTGCTGCGATTGTAGGGTCTTTTTGGAGCCCCATATTGCTGCGACCTATTAGGAGCGCGAAAGCGACTTCATACTTCGACGCATGGTGTGAAAACCCCGCTGCTTGCGCCGAAATTACAGGTGGAGTCTGCTCATTTGCTATTTCTCACGCGGGGAGAGTGCGCTGACCTGTCATCGACTGTTTGAGGGCTTCAAACACGCTGGAATTTCCTATCTCCTGAGCAGGGCAGGGGTGCAAGGCAGCGGTGCTGGTGCAGACTGCAGGTAAGCCAAACATACACTGAAATCCTAGCACAACATTTGTACTGTACTTATTTTTATGCCCCCCCCCGTGCAACCCGTCAACTTCCTGACTGAAATTCCCAGAAATTTAAAGGCGAAACCCTCTCCAGAATTTAAAAATGCCCGGCTTCAGGAGTTATGCGGAAGCAAACTGGTCAGCAGGACTATTCTTCGCACAACCGACCGAGCCCACAACACGCTTCCACGAACCGCTTTTGCGTGTGCCGTGGTACACTCTGATTGGTCAACGCGGTCGAGCCCTACGACAGCGACGCGAAATGCCTCACCTTGTCGCATGAAGGAGCCACTTCCCTACCCTCCCCTTCGGGGCGAAACGCCCTCACTCAACCACGAAAGTGCCCCCACTCGCTGTGATGATGTGGTGGCGTCACGTCACGTTCCATTGCTCCTTGCCGTAATAAAGGCCTAGTATTGAAGTCGGTTAGGTGGAGTGGTCGTCCTCCACCGGCTCTCGTCTAAATCTGGCTCCAATCCATAAGCATTGGTATATTGCTTCTAGTCGTCCACCACGGAAGTTTAGCGCCATCTTAAATCCTTTCCTCCAGTTTTCTTTCCAAATAGGCTTTTCATCTTCGTGCAGGCCGCTCTGCCGTTCTTCGTCGCGGGGCATTTCGCCGCACCGCGGTTAGATAAACTCCTATTTTTCCAGACCCTTTCAGAGAGACATCGTACACTGCATTAAGATATTGACGCCTCCTGGTACCAGAATGGAGACTCCTGGTGTCACAACGGAGAACCAAGCATCAGCTACTAATAAAAATGCTGCTACTGGCGGGACTCGGCGCACTTGTGATGTTCTAGAGCCTTCCTTGTCGACTTCTGGCAATGTGTCCAAGCGACTACGACACTCGTACACGCAGAATGCAAATCCAGCCCCAAAGCTTCTTCCTGCTGAATCTACGGATTTGGCTCAAGTTCGTCCGAATAGCGTGACGGCAGAAACGCCCTTATTTATAACCTCTAATCTTGATGTGCCTCCTGTCTTCCCGGATCTTCATAGGCGGCTCGAAGAATCGTTTAATTTGGATTCCGACATTCTAGGCGCCGGTCAATTCGGCACGGTTCGACGGTGCGTTTGCAGGGAGACGGGTCAAGCTTTTGCGTGCAAGACGATTCCCAAGTCCCGTCTCCTCGACCAATTCGTGAGAGAAGAGGTGAAGATGGAGGTGCTGCTTATGCAACATCGCTTAACTCTGCTTCCTTCAGCGGGCAACGCTGACGCTGGTTGCGATGATAAAAAAACGGCGAGCGCGCGACAAACGGAAGACCCGCCGATGCGCGTCGCGGAATCGTCGCCCGGTACTTCAGCAAACCAAGCAACAACACATCCGGCGATAGTGCAGCTCCACGCGGTCTTCGAGGACGATGCGGGAGTTCATCTCGTCATGGATTTGTGCGACTCTGGCGACCTGTACGACGAAGTAGTGCGACGGGGAAGGCTACCCGAGAAGGAATCGGCTCTTCTGTTCCGACAAATTGCCTCAGCTCTCGCGTTTTGCCACGCAAAGGGTGTGATGCATCGCGACATGAAACCGGAAAATATTCTGCTACATAAGCAAGGAGACGCTTCTAACCGGCTAACCGTGAAGCTTGCTGATTTTGGACTCGCGATTCCGCTTTCAGCCGGCGAAACTACTCGAGGAATTTCCGGTTCGACGTTTTACATGGCGCCTGAGGTGCTCTCCGGGGAGTACGGGCATTCTGCAGACGTATGGTCGCTCGGGGTTCTACTCTTCACAATGCTAAGTGGTGCCGTTCCTTTTTTCGGGGATGACAATAGCGAGTCCACGGAGGCCGTCTTGAATGGACAGCTGGATTTCTCTTCACCGGAATGGGCGACGATTTCAATTGAGGCGAAAGGGCTGATTCGCTGCATGCTCCATCGAGATCCTCGGCGACGGCCAACCGCTGCGAAGGTCTTATCTCATCCGTGGGTGCTGCTGAACGTTTTTGGCGGGAGAATTGTTCGGAGAACCGTTGCTCGTCCCCTTGGGAATGCCATCAACAATACTCAGGAGAACAAACTCAATGTTGACGAGCAAGACCCGCAACAACTGCACTCTCCGGAGTCACGGCCACATGGAACGCAAGAACACGTTTCTTTGGTACAACCGCTGCAGCAGCCTGCATCGCCAAACCTTGGGAATAGCTTGTGCTTTGAACAAGGGCAGCGCACAGCCCCTGCCCATAATGCTTGCCAGGGGCATCTTCATGGGCTTGTGACGATGGTCCAGCCTAGGGATTTCGTTCAAACATCTGCCTAATAATGTACATACACGTAAATGTTACAGACCTTCAATGTATGGACATAGCAGAGCCCAAGAATGTATCTGGGCTCCTCCAATTCCAAATTCACCTTTTTTATTTATGTTAATCCTCAATTCGATCTAGCCTGTTATAATGACGTAAAGAATCTCGTTATGAAATAAAAGGTCTGTAACAGAGAACAGTTTACGCCACCTCTGAACACATCTTTTTTTTTTTTGGTTTTAAACAAGTGTCATCTCAAGTTCATTTATAACTATTTATATCAGGAAGATGCACATGATGCTGAGCTATCCGCTTATTTCATCGAATTCAGCGTTCCACAAAGACCCAGAAATATCAGGCTCTTTGTTGAACTCGCTTTGGAGATCTCGGAGACACGTGAGCACAACCGTCCCAGATGTTTGCTTGATACCAAAACTTTTTCGTTGGTCCCAGCTTCTTTGGAGAATTTTCGTTCTGATTCGTTCGATTGGTCGCGGCTTGCTTTCCGCCACTCTTGTGCTGACCGCCATTTCGTCACACGCGGCCCGTTCCAAAACTTCGATCTTGGACGGTCACGAGAAGGGCTCAACTCATGCGGAATTGGCGGAAGATCCTTGGTAGCACGAGCTCATAATTGCAAACGCGCCAATAGCGCGTAAAATCTATGCGCTGGCATTGTACGTGTTGTTGTATCGAGGGAGCATAGGTAGCCGAATCAACTCTGGCCACACATGCCAACCAGCAGAATTTGGCAGGCTGTTTGGGTGGTTTGGCCATGCCAAATTCTGGGTGGTTTTCGGCATGGCAAATATTTGCCTGCCCTGCCCCGGTTTGGTCCTTGTGACCTTGTCGTCCCTGCAACGAAGTCTCCACCGTCGAGTGAGATCTTCGTGAGGCTTCGCCAGGGGTGTGTTGTCCTCGCCCCTCCTCACGTCATTCCTCTTTTTTTCCTGCCTCGTTGAATATCCCTCCCTGCATTTACTTTCCCCGCGCCTGGACTCCTTCCCCCCACCCCGCTCCGACCCCTTTCACCACTTCCTTTTTGTCTTTGTTTCCCTTCCCCCTTACCCAAACCTTCCCCCAGCCTTCCCCTTAACCCCTTCCGCCCTCTCCGCCTCACCACTCTCCAATCCCAACGCCCCCCTCCTGTGAGGCCCTTAGCCCTCGATGGTACTGCTATTCACCATCTGAGCCGTTCATTGTCATCTCTTGAGATCTACACACCCATAGTAATCCCTATGCCCTGCGCAGTATTTCTTTCTGCTCAGCTCCTGTTTCTTTATTAATTTCGTCCTAGCAGTCTAGTTTTCAGCATCTTCAACGGCTTCAATGCTGCAGAGGTTTTCTCTACCAGCGCTTTGAGCGGGACGAGTAATTCGAGTTTTTACACTCGCAGCTGTTATCAAGCCGACCGCGCTGAGTCCTTTCCAATAAGCGCATACTTCCAACACAACCACGGTTTTGACGTACGACACCATGTCTAAGCCTGTCGCCGTGGGTAGCCTCCGCGCTGCCAGTCGCGACAGCCTGGCTTCCACGTCCTTCTTATCTCACCTAAAGCTTCGTCCTTCAACATACCGCGGCTCAACTTCCCTATCATTCCGCGTTGGTCCTCCAATCCGCGCGGTTCTGGACAAACCTTCAAGTAACACCAGCGGTGGAAGCAGCAGCGGCAGCACCAGCGGCAATGGCAGCGGGAACCGCTTCAGCCGAAGAGGCACCGGCCAAGATTCCTTGGACATTGCTCGCGCCGCATTGGAACGGCTGTTTTCGCAGAACTACCGCCCAGACCACAAGACCGAGGTCGATTCCACGAGGTTTCTTGAAGACGCGATTGCGCAGCTCGAAATGGACCTGTCTACGGTCTTCGAGGCCATGCGGGAGAAAGAGGAGGAGCTTGCAGAGGCGGAGCAACGGCTACTGTTCGACCGGGATAACCTCGAAACGGCGCGCGAATTGATCCAGGAGCGTGAAGCGCGTCTTGCCGAGAACCAGACGGCTCAGTTGTCTTTAAGGGAAGACGCGGAGAAGATCCGCGCGAAGCTGGCGGAGCAGACGGAGGAGCTGCTCGCGGCTCGCAAAGAAGTGGACTTGAGGAGTAAGGAGATTCGCGAGGCGAAAGAAGGGTTGGGTAAGAAGGAAGAGGAGATCACTCGGGCTCATGCGGCGATTCGAGCGAGGAATGAGAAGTTGAGGCTTGCCGAAGCTGAGCTTCAGGCTCAGGAGAGCCAGCTTGTAGCTTCGACAGCGGAGGTTCGGCAATTGCGGTTGGATCTGAGATCTGCGGTTTCGGAAAAGAAACGGCTGGAGGAGGAGCTTGAGGAGTCACAGAAGGAGCTGCGACGGCAGGAGGGTAAACTGACCGCCATGGAATCAGATTTGGAGAAAAGAAGCGGCATTGTGACAGCTGCGCAGAAGGAGATTAGGATTCTTCAGAAGCACCTAAAGAACTCTGGAGTAAAAGGAGAGGCTGCGTCTCGGGAGCTCGCTCAAGCTAAGTCGATGATTGGTGCGGTGAAGGCGGAGTTAAAGGTGTCCAACGAAGCTCTGAGCAAATTCCGATCGGAGGTTCACGAGCTCAAGGCATCCGTGGCCAGACGGGAACGCGAGGCGACGAACGCGGCGATGCTTCTAAAGAAGCGGGAACGGGAGCTCGAACGGGCCAACGCGGAACTTGCCAAGGAGAAAACGACGTTGCAAGAAGTCCGCGCCTCGGTTCTGGATCTCGAGACTAAGTTAAAGCACGAGATGGACGCCTGCGAGACGCTCGCGACGGAGGTTCGAGACGCGCGGTCGAAGCTTCGCACAGCCATGTCCGAAGCTTCCGAGCTCCGTAAATCCGTCCGGCAGGCGGAGTCAGAACTCTCAGACGCCAAAATCACCCTCCAGCTTAAAGAAGCAGAACTTATAGGGCTCCGCCTGGAGCTGCAAGAAACTGCATCGGATCTCTCTATAGCGAAGCAGGACCTCAAATCCCGGTCTGAGGACCTCGACTCAGTGGCTAACGCGCTGGAGAGTCTTCGCCGGGAGCTGGCCGCTGTAAAGCTGGAGCTTCAGGTGAAAGAGGAGCGAGTGGCGGCCTCCGATAAGGCCCTGGAGATGCGGGATCAGACGATTGGGGCGATGGAGGTGAAGCTGGAAGGCAGCAACGCGCGTTTGGCGGCGGCGGAGACTGTCGTGGAGCAGATCGCGGAGCTCTCGCGCAAGCTCGCGGATTCCGCGCTCGCCGCTGGGGGGTTCGACATGGGCGTGCTGCCGTCCGGGAGAGCGGTGCAGAGCGGCGGTGTGGGGTCGGGGGGGTTGAGAGGCGGGAAGATGCTTGTGGGGGAGAGCGTGCTGCTGGCTGAGACGAACCGAGAGCTGTTTGCGGCGAGCCGAGCGCTGCTGGAGAAGGAGCATGGCATGCAGCTGCTGCAGGTAGGCCGTGCTCAGAACTTTTCTCCTTAAATCGCCCGACCTGCTGCTTTCTCTACTCCAAATTTCCCCTCTTTAAATTACCCCACTCCAAATTTCCCTACCCCCTTCACTTCTTCGCGCTTGCTCCCTGTCTCTCCGTCTTTCTTTGTGTCTCTCTCTCTCGCAGCCCGCTCTACCAGCCCTCCTTGCCCTTTCGTTTCTCTTTGCCTCATTTTCTCGCATTCTTATCCATCCCTTGGCCACCTCTCATCCCAAGCAGGAGCAGGAGCAGGAGCAGCGGGCGCAGAACGAGCGCCTATTGGAGCAGCTCCGGGCGGCGAGGGCGGCGCTGGGGGAGAAGCAAACCGAGCTGGACTCCGTCAAATCCCTCCTAGCCGAGCGGGAGGAGGAGATCCGGCAGCTGACGGCGCGGTGGGAGGAGCGGGAGGCCGCGTTGACGTGCATGCGCGCGGAGGTTATCAGCGGAGCGCGGGAGATCGCGCAGCTGCGGGACGTGATCATATCCGCATCGTCGCTCAAGGCAGGGCAGGCGGGGCAGGGCGAGGGGGCGGAGGAGGTTTCACAGGCGGATCTGGTGGCGCATGAAGTGGTGAAGCTGGAACTCGAGGTGAGCTGCTGTGCTCTGCCATGCTGCCCTCAGCGTCTCCCTGTATTTATGTCTGTTTATATTGTTGCACTGTTTGCTGTCCCATCTATCTCTCTTGTTCTCACTCTCGATATCTCCTCCGTTCCCCCCCACCTACACTCTCCCCCCTTCCTCCCCACCCTCTTGTCCAGGTGGCGAAGGTGGAGGTAGAGACAGCTATGTCTGCTCTGCAGGGCCTGGCGGATCTGAGTGCACAGCTCAAGGCAGACGCTGAAGACCGCCTGCTGCTGCTGCTGCCCGCATCCTCGCCCCACTCCTCCACTTCTTCCGCCGCTCAACAACATGACTCTCGTCCTGCTCTGGCCTCTGCCGCTGCTGTGAGAGCATCAGGAACAGTGGCTCAACAGGGGGAAGAGGAGGAGCAGCAGCAGCGGGTGCAAAGGCAGCAGAAGGAGCAGGAGCGGAAGCAGAGGGAGGAGCAAGAGGAGGCACGGATGCAGCAGCAGCTGCAGGAGAGGGACAATGCGCTGCGCATGGCGGTGCGGGCCATGTCCAACCTCACGCGCCTGACTCAGAAGCTTGCTGCTGACGCCCAGGCAGAGCTCTCGGGAGAAGAGCCAATCCTGCAGATGTAGGCACCGGACGGTGTTGGTGGCTGTGGTGTTTCTGTGGCGGTGCGGGCCGTGTCCAACCTCACGCACCTGACTCGGATGCTCGCTGCTGACGCACAGGCAGAACTCTCAGGGGAAGAGCCGGTGCTGCAGATGTAGATGCGGTTGATCTCACTTGGAAGGTGGCTGCTGATGCAGAGGCAGTTGGGGCTCAGCATGGCATGGTTGTGACATTTGATCAGGGAGGCTGGTTTATGTGCTTGTGCTGACTGTATTCTAATGGTGAGACTGGTGCGTGGTGAATGTTGCTCTGCTGCAACTATCCTGCATTGGTTGATGCTTATTGCTGGATTGGGTTCTGCTGTCTATGGTATGTGCAGTGCAAACTGTAACTGGTCATGTGCATGCTTGCTGTGGGGCTTTGGCATGCGATTGTTGTACTCCCTTGGTTTTGGAGGGCTGGTAGGCAGGTTCAAATCTTAATTGCTACTGTAGTCGTGTTGGTGATTCTATAAATGTGGGCTCAGACCTGCATTGTACATGCTGTTGGCGTCTACTGCTTCACATCACATGTGAACCATCAAAGTTCCACTTTCATTGTGCGCACACTGTATCGTGGAAGAGTGAACTGTACCATTAGCCTCCGCTATGTACGCTAGTGGCTGCTGCACAATTGCAAGGCTCTGGTGGAGCCAGCACTACCAGCTCTAGACTAGGCAATCCTTCAATTAGCTGGACCTTTAGGGTGCTCTAGGCCATATGGCCTTCTGTATGGCATCCTGCACCTTTGCCTGCTCCACCACAGGCCTATGCACCACTGCACCGCCAGGTGACTGCTCCGGTGCCTTCCCAGTCGTTGAATCTACCGCCATAGGCCTTGGTGCGTCACAATGTGACTCCCTCCCCCACCACCCTGTCCACTGTTCTCTACGCAGCTGCACCTTTCGGGTAAACTAGACCGTATAGCATCGCCTTCTTCATTGCATTCTGAAGCTTAGCCTGATCCACCACAGGCTTATGCACCACTGCACCGCCAGGAGACTGCTCAGGTGCCTTTCCAGCCGCCTCCTCGGGATCTCCAATTTCCAGGAAGTATTTCTCCAGCCCGCCCGGCATACAGACCACCAGCATTCGGGCAGGTCGGTCGGAATTGTTGCGAAAAGAATGCGCCCGGCCAAGAGGCATATGCATGAAGCTGCCCTGACTGGCTTGATAGGTCCTGCAGGGGTGGAGCATGCAAAAGAGATAGGTGGGAACGGTGAGAATGGTGAGGATGAGAACACGGTAAGCATGGTGTAGATGGCATGGCAACATGGTGAAACGGGACATGGTGAAACGGGACATGGTGAACATGGGACACAGTAACGACTGGAACATTGAGACTTGACAGAATGACCCCAAGCAACCCCTCAACTCACCTGCCAGTCACAATATCAGATCCCAGCACAGCATATCCCACATATCACCCCATATTACAGCATATGTGTATGGAACCAACAAACGCCCCTTTTCCACCCAGGCCCTCAGATTGGTTTTGGGGCTAGGCTGAAAAATCAGAGTTGGTACAAAAATTTACTCTGAAAATCAGAGAAAAATACCAATGTACACTAGAAACAAACAGCAATTTCCCGTTTTCCCTAAAAAAAAAGTCTGATAATTCAGCCTTGGTACAAAAAAAGAGTCTGAAAATCAGAATTTTTTTGCCAAATCAGAGAAAAAAGTCTGACTTCTGAGGGCCTGTTTCCACCCCTCTCTCCTCCTCAAACACCCCCTCTCCCCTCCCCCCCTTTCCCCCTTCCTTGTGCCTTTCCTCACTCGGTTATCCATGTCATCTAACCAAAGACCCTGTTTCCATAACAAAAGCCAGGCCTAGCGCCCATGTCACATGCTCATACAACTCACTCTTTCTCAATGGTCCACGTCATTTGCCCGTCCAGCAAAAACCACGCCTCGTGCTCCCGCGTGTGAATGTGCTCCTCGGATCCCTCCCCTGCTGGAACCTCATACTCAATCACACTATACGACCCTCCGGTCTGCTCTGCTTCGGCTTTAATTCTCACTCTCATCCCCATCGCCTTCACCACCTTACCGCCGCCTGCGTCAACCAATCCCGTCGCAGCATGCGGGCAGCTGGCTGTTTTGTCGGTATCTGAAGCAGTGACAGATTTGTCAGTATCTGCAGCAGGTTCGAGTTCAGGTTCGGGTTCTGCCAGCCTGGCAGAGTCCAGCCTATCCATAGGTGCCACGTGTGCAAGGTCCCCCAGCAATCCTTCTGTGCTTCCAATCTCCACATTGGTAGGCCGCCCAAGGGTCACATATCCCTTCCCATCCAAATCATCTACCCACACTGCCCCTTCCCCTCTCCCCCCATTCCCCCCTGGTTCTCCCCCGTTCCCACCCCCACCAGCACCTTCCCGCTTCCCCCCTTCCTCCGCCTCCCCCTCCCCCCCTCGCGCGCCCGCGCCCTGCATGTCTCCGCGCACTGCCCCGATATGTTCCGCCATGCTGCGCTCTGATTGGAGGCTGGGCGCGGTTTCCACCACTGGCGCGCGGCTTTTTTCCCCCAACGCCTCCCCCCGTTCTCCCGGTTCCCCTCCGCCTTCGCGCACCTCCGCGCGCCCCTCCCCTCCCCCCGTGCTCCCGTCGTCTTTCACATCAGTGCCCCTTAACTCGCCGCGCCCGCCGGCGCTAAACGAAGCAGAGGGCTGTCCTTCGCGCAGCCCTGCAACGTGGCGCGCGCTGATTTGCTGGCCCGTTCCCAGCCAGAACGACGCGGATGCGGCTGGCGTGGCAGTAGCAGCCACGTGGATGTAACGCGACTCCAACACCTCCTCCACCCCCCCGTCCATAAAATGCGCCGTGAATTCCGCCGTGGAAACCGCCGCCCTTTCAAGAATCATCCCTTCCCCGTGAGTGGGCAACGGCGAGGGGGAGGCGGAGAGGGACGGGGACGGGGGCGCAGTGGGGGAAGCGGGGGGCGGAAGGGTTCCGGGGGCGCTGTTGACGGCGGAAGTTGAGAATTGGCGGAAGCGGTAGCGGAAGGGAAGTGCATTGCTCATGGGCGGTAACTGCTGCGGAGACACCTGCGGAACCCGCGGAACCTGCGGTAAGCTGTAACCTGCGGTGAGGCGGTGAGCAGACGGGACCGTTACACCCAGGATCTGCAGATTCCAAAACACAACACGTTTATCAGGATATACCCGCGGCTGAAAATTTATGGGGCGTAAAAAAAATCGGAAGGGAAAAAAAAAAAAACCAAACAAAACAAACAAGAAAGGCGAAGCGGCGGTGACGTGCCTTGTTATGGAGTCGCGAAACCCCCCGTGATGCGCGGTGCACCCAGGCACTGTAGCTGGCCGCCATGATGGAGGGAAAAAATGTCCCCCAAGCTCCCCCGAGGGCACAAGGCGTCTAGATTCAACAGGAGCCCTTCACGAGAGCTTCTCACGAGAGCTTCTCACGAGAGCTTCTCACAAGCTCCTCGCGGCTACCCGTGCTTTCTCCGCGGGAGACGACGTCGTTAATAGAAAATTCAGCGGAAATTCAGCGAATGTCCAACTCGTCCTATCCCGACGCTGCTTGCAACGGTGCCAAAATCCCTGTGATGGGGAGCTAGACGTGGTTACTCTCGCCCCCTATTAAGAAGCTCGGCGATTCCTCTCGTCCCTTATTGAGAAGCTAGGCAACTCCTCTCGCTCTCGCACCTTCTCGGAAAAAACGAGGGAGGGAGCGTGCGAAAAGCAAGTACAAGAGACGAGAGGAAATCACCGGGGCGAAATCACTACTATCGGAAGATCAAGCGCTTTTGGGAGGAGGAAAGGAATGGTTCGGTAGGACTTGAAGTACAAATAGCACTAGCACAACGCACAGCTACACCAGGCAATGGCGCTGCGAGCGGAGGGAGAGGTCGCTCGTTGCGGAGAGTCGTTCGCCTGGGCAGTCGCCGTGTCGTCGTCACCATCCCGGCAAAATACCCCGCCAGTCCATCGCCTCCGCAAGCGACTGCCTGCCGCAAATCGTCGTGTGAGCCATGCGGCAGTCAGTCAGATTTGCGCGCCACGCTTGCAGTGTGCATGCATGTGCGGGCCTTCATCCGCCCTCTGCCGTCGATGGCCTAATCGAACGGTTCAATTTCATTCGGAACGGAAACCGCCAACGTTCCAGTATCAACATTTTGTGAGTTGCGAAAGAAGAGAATTGTCACGGGGGGTTACCCGAGATGAAGAGAAGGCCGATCGGTTCTGCTGGATACCTATCGTTCACAAACGGTTTTGTACGTTGGTTGAGGTTCGTACCTGCATCGTCATCCTCCCCAGTGCTCACGCGAATTGTCAGAGAGATGACGCGATGCATGCGTGCTGCGATCCATCCAGCGTGGTTGCTGCTGTGAATGACGTGTTGAACGCATGTCACTCGCCAGATCAAAAAATGGTTCTGATGCGAGGGAACTTAATGTTTCCGCGTTAGAAAAACACCCCGACGCACACGTAAAAGAGCCTAGTTAGTTTAAACATTATCTCTCTGTATGGGGCTGGCCTGGCTGTCACTCATCACTGTCATACTTGTGCTCCAGGAAGAGTTGTGATAGTCACTGGTGGCAAATGTGGGCTGGAACGCAAATTTTCTCCATATGTATATATATAGGCCCATATATATATAGGCCCATAGGCAGCACTACACCGTACAAACACACATGCAGGGATCAAAATTCAAAATGGCGTAACACTGTACAAGTGCAAAATATTTACACTCGTTTGAACCCCACCACGAATGCTTCGCAGGACCCCACCATTGGATTCATAATTGGTGCCATTGGTCTCTAGCCTCCTCCAACGCGGCGCCATGTCTTGATGCTCAACTTGGAAGCCTGGCATTTTTGTAGGCGCCTCAAACACCTGCCCTTGAGGTCTCTAGCCTCCTCCAACTGGCCGCCATGTCTTGATGCTCAACTTGGAAGCCTGGCATTTTTGTAGGCGCCTCAAACACCGGCCCTTGAGGTCTCTAGCCTCCTCCAACTGGCCGCCATGTCTTGATGCTCAACTTGGAAGCCTGGCATTTTTGTAGGCGCCTCAAACACCGGCCCTTGAGGTCTCTAGCCTCCTCCAACTGGCCGCCATGTCTTGATGCTCAACTTGGAAGCCTGGCATTTTTGTAGGCGCCTCAAACACCGGCCCTTGAGGTCTCTAGCCTCCTCCAACTGGCCGCCATGTCTTGATGCTCAACTTGGAAGCCTGGCATTTTTGTAGGCGCCTCAAACACCGGCCCTTGAGGTCTCTAGCCTCCTCCAACTGGCCGCCATGTCTTGATGCTCAACTTGGAAGCCTGGCATTTTTGTAGGCGCCTCAAACACCGGCCCTTGAGGTCTCTAGCCTCCTCCAACTGGCCGCCATGTCTTGATGCTCAACTTGGAAGCCTGGCATTTTTGTAGGCGCCTCAAACACCGGCCCTTGAGGTCTCTAGCCTCCTCCAACTGGCCGCCATGTCTTGATGCTCAACTTGGAAGCCTGGCATTTTTGTAGGCGCCTCAAACACCGGCCCTTGAGGTCTCTAGCCTCCTCCAACTGGCCGCCATGTCTTGATGCTCAACTTGGAAGCCTGGCATTTTTGTAGGCGCCTCAAACACCGGCCCTTGAGGTCTCTAGCCTCCTCCAACTGGCCGCCATGTCTTGATGCTCAACTTGGAAGCCTGGCATTTTTGTAGGCGCCTCAAACACCGGCCCTTGAGGTCTCTAGCCTCCTCCAACTGGCCGCCATGTCTTGATGCTCAACTTGGAAGCCTGGCATTTTTGTAGGCGCCTCAAACACCGGCCCTTGAGGTCTCTAGCCTCCTCCAACTGGCCGCCATGTCTTGATGCTCAACTTGGAAGCCTGGCATTTTTGTAGGCGCCTCAAACACCGGCCCTTGAGGTCTCTAGCCTCCTCCAACTGGCCGCCATGTCTTGATGCTCAACTTGGAAGCCTGGCATTTTTGTAGGCGCCTCAAACACCGGCCCTTGAGGTCTCTAGCCTCCTCCAACTGGCCGCCATGTCTTGATGCTCAACTTGGAAGCCTGGCATTTTTGTAGGCGCCTCAAACACCGGCCCTTGAGGTCTCTAGCCTCCTCCAACTGGCCGCCATGTCTTGATGCTCAACTTGGAAGCCTGGCATTTTTGTAGGCGCCTCAAACACCGGCCCTTGAGGTCTCTAGCCTCCTCCAACTGGCCGCCATGTCTTGATGCTCAACTTGGAAGCCTGAGTACCTGCCGCGGTCCCATTGCCAGCTGTCAGCGTGCTATTGGCGAAAGCACCACTCGCGGCTCCAGCCTCAACAAAGGCAAAGACGAGAGCAGAGTAAGCGTCAGGAGCAGCCAGCATGGAATCCACAAGCTGCTTATACGTCTGCCCGTTATCCGCCTTCAAAGTACTGGCGCTTAGCCAAGTGCCAGCGGTTTCGTAGGTGTAGCCGAGGAAAGTGGGAGGAGGGGGAGGAGGATTCTGGGCTTTTAAGGCTTGATACTGGGCTCTAAGCCTCAAGCAGGCTTCGGGAGGTATGGTCTTGCACATCTCGATAGTGGGATCTGGATCTTGAGCAGAAGGTGTGAGCGTGCGATTGGTCCACGTGGCGGTGCTGGTGGCCACGGTGAGTGCCACGTCAGCGCCCTTCATGATGATGACGCGGGTGGGCTCTCCAGGATTGGTCAGAGTCACGTCAATGGTGTAAAGAATGTTGTAGTCTTTAGTGGTGCCGTTGCTGAAGGGGGAAGGGTGGCAAGAAAGGGCAGGGAGGGGCAAGGAGAGGCAGGGAGGGGCAAGGAGGGTCAGGGAGGTCAGGGAGTGAGGGAAACTAGAGTGAGGCGTGCGAGAGAGTGAGGGGAAAAGGAGGACGTGAGAATGAAGGGAGGAGGATGAGGAGGATGATGGAAGGGAGGGGAGAAAGGAGGGGAGTAGGAAGTGGAGTGTGAGGCAGTGAGGAGAGAATGGGAAGATAAAGTGAAAGGAGGAGGGTGAGGGGGCAACGGAAAAAGCAAGGGAGGAAGAGAGAACGAGGGGAAGGAGAGAGAGAGAGGGCAAAGGAGCAAAAGAAGGAAAACTTAAAGAAAGAGGGAGCAGCAAATGCACGAGAGGTCTTAGAAGCTTACAGGAAAATGGCAAGAGAAAGGGAGCCTGTGGCGTTGACGTCACCAGTGAGGTCAGCATTGGATCCGTTCAGTTGTGCTCCCACCAACCCTGCAGCAAACCAGAGAGAGGAAGAAAGTGACCGAGATAAGGGGAGGGGGCATGGTGCGTGGTAAATTTTGAAGTAGTGAGGTCAGCATTGGAGCTGTTCAGTTTTGGTCTCACCAACCCTGCACGAACACGGGAGTCAGAACAGGCATAGGAGTGAAGACGGCGAGCAGTGGGGTCAGCATTGGAGGCGTAAGTTGTGCTCCCACCATTAAGAAAATGACCTTTAGAAAGAAGAAAAACGAATCGGGTAGGAGATCAGCATGGGAATGAAGGCGAAGAGGAAAGTGGACAAGTGATGATGAGAGAAAGAGGGCGCTGAAGGTGGGAGGAGGAGGAGAGCAGGCGTAGGAGTGAAGGTGAGGAGGAAAGTGGAAAAGTGATGACGAGGGAATGGAAGGGCCAGAAGAGAGGAGGAGAGCAGGTGTGGGAGTGAAGGTGAGGACAAAGGCGAGGGAGAGATGGTGAGAGAGTGGAAGGGGCAGGCGAGATAATGGGAGATGGAAGGGGCATGGCGTGGGAGCGAAGGTGAAGACGAGAGGAGAGGATCCATGGTGATTGATTGATGATGGAGGCTTATTGATGACGAAGGTGTAGAAGGTATGATGAGAGAATCAATGAGGCATGAACGAAATGCATGAGGCAGGAACGGAATGCATGAGGCAGGAACGAAATGCATGAGGCAGGAACGAAATGCATGAGGCAGGAACGAAATGCATGAGGCAGGAACGAAATGCATGAGGCAGGAACGGAATGCATGAGGCAGGAACGGAATGCATGAGGCAGGAACGAAATGCATGAGGCAGGAACGGAATGCATGAGGCAGGAACGGAATGCATGAGGCAGGAACGGAATGCATGAGGCAGGAACGGAATGCATGAGGCAGGAACGGAATGCATGAGGCAGGAACGGAATGCATGAGGCAGGAACGGAATGCATGAGGCAGGAACGGAATGCATGAGGCAGGAACGGAATGCATGAGGCAGGAACGGAATGCATGAGGCAGGAACGGAATGCATGAGGCAGGAACGGAATGCATGAGGCAGGAACGGAATGCATGAGGCAGGAACGAAATGCATGAGGCAGGAACGAAATGCATGAGGCAGGAACGAAATGCATGAGGCAGGAACGAAATGCATGAGGCAGGAACGAAATGCATGAGGCAGGAACGAAATGCATGAGGCAGGAACGAAATGCATGAGGCAGGAACGAAATGCATGAGGCAGGAACGAAATGCATGAGGCAGGAACGAAATGCATGAGGCACGAACAGAACGGGTTTGTACATTGCGCAGCGGAGAATGCAGGTGAGTAAAGGGCTGGATTTGAGGATTCTCAAAAGGAGGATGAATGTGAGAAAAAAGCTTGCTTTGAGGGTACGTACCAATCAATGTGTTCGCCTTGTTCCCTCCATCTGTCGTGCTTCCATCCGTCGTGCTGTCTGTTTCGTCTGGCATCGGAGCGACCACCGCCTTCACAAACTGCCCCCTTGCTGCCCCGCCCTCAAAAGCCGCGGTCGTGAATTCCCCATAAAAATTGTCGGGCGCTTTCATCCTGGCAGAAATCACCTTCTTAACACTCTGCTGGTTCAACGCGGTTAGTGTAGTCGTATTGACCAGCGTCCCCTGAATGTTATAGGTGTACATAGCAGGGTTGGGCGGCGCGCCGGGCCTCGCTGGCCGGGGCGGACGAGTGATGTTCTTCCACGTGGCACTGGCCCCGGCAATCTCGAGGACGGTGGGTCCTGCTGTTCCCGCCGCGCCTTGCGCGATGAATGCGGAGGTCGGCACGCCCGGCTTGGAGGTAACGACAGTGACATTGTAGAATAGGTTGAAGTTGTTTTTGCCCGCCCTGACGGAATCAGTCAGGTTCAGTCGGGGTTCAGTCAGGGTTCAGTCAGGGTTCCACAGAAGTGCGGGAAAAGGGAGAATTGCTGGGGTGAGCACTAGCCCAGAGAAATGTGAGGTAATGTCTAGCAGGCGAGCAGCAAAATTGGTTCAGCAAAGGAGGACTCGTTAGTGGTTGGAGAAACGAGGCAAATTGACGCTTGAATATAGGCAAATGAGGCCACGCGAGGCAAATTGGGCTAGTGAGGCTTACTTGTAGCTTACCTGTCCTCGGCAGCCCCTTACGGTATCTGCTGTTGAGGCTTACTTGTAGACAGCTATTCAGAACCCACGTGGGAGTAGTCTCAAGAACGATTTATTACAGCCACTCACTTGTAGACGGCTATGCAGAACCCACGTGGGAGTAGTCTCAAGAACGATTTATTACAGCCACTCACTTGTAGACGGCTATGCAGAACCCACGTGGGAGTCCGTTTTGTATGGGGCTAGCTTTGACGTCGCCCGTCGACCCAACCATTTCGGTTCCGTTTGGCCGCGCCCCGAGAATCACTGCGCGGAGAGAAGGGAAGGAGCAAGCAGAGCGACGTGAGAGGGGTGAGGAGAGGAGCGCGGAGAGGAGGGAGGGAGAGTGTGTCAGAAATAGGCTTAGAAGCGATGCATTAGTAATGAGCTTGAAGCTCTTTAAGTACATCCAAGAGGGGTAGGAAAAGGATGGGGAAGGGAATCGGGGGCAATCTCTAGGGATTGGGGGTAATCCCAAGGCAATCTCCAATTGGTGGGTTGGAGATTGGTTGGAGATTACATTTGGGTTTGGTTGGGATGTAGGTGTACACCCAACCAAACACAATGTGCAAACTACACTACTCTAGGATATAGAAAATACAAAGTACAAATTGTGAGATTGAAGACTAACACTAACACCCCCCCATAGGCGTCAATCGAACTCAGGGTAGAGAGGGTGGAGCACAGAGCCCCATGGCGCCAAGGAGACGGTGGTGGGGAACTTTCCCAAGGGGCTTGGTGAACAGATCAGCCAAGTTGCAGTCAGATGCAACGTATTCCACTTTCAACTGCTCTTGTTGGACAAGGTCACGGATGAAGAAGTGCCGGAGTTCAATGTGCTTGGTGCGGGTGTGATACACAGGGTCTTGAGAGATGTGGATGGTACTCTGGTTGTCACACCAGAGGGTAGGGGCGGACTGTGGGAAACCAAGTTCCTGGAGGAGGAAGGTGAGCCAACGAGCCTCCTGAGCAGCCATGGTGCCTGCGTAGAGCTCTGCCTCACATGAGGAGAGGGAGACTGCAGACGACCTGGTGGAGCGCCAACTGACAATTCCGCTCCCAAGGGTGAAGCAGTACCCCTGAGAGGAGCGTCGGTCGGTCTGGTCATCAGCCCAGGAGGAGTCGGTGTAACCCTCTAGGCGAGGAGGGGAGAGCCCACCGAGTGTGAGGACGTGAGACTTGGTGCCCTGAAGATAGCGCAACACCCGCTTGGCTGCCTTCCAGTGAAGGTCAGTGAAGCGTCCAGGGGCCACGTAGCGAGAGAGGACACTGACAGGATAGGCCAGGTCTGGCCGGGTGCACATCATGGCGTACATGAGGGACCCAACAAGCTCCGGGTATGGCTCAGAGCAGGCCTCTGGTGTGGGTACCGCTGGAGCTGTGAGGAGGTGTTGCAGCGGCAGCGGGGTGGCAACAGGTGTGCATAGCTCCATCTCAAATCGCTTGAGCACATTGTCGATGTAGAACTCCTGGGAGAGTGAGATGGTGCGAGCCTTGCGATCACGAGTGATCTCCATCCCCAGGTAGTGCTTGAGGTCACCGAGGTCTTTCATCTGGAGAGCCTTGCTTAGGGCTGCCTGGACTGAGGTCATCTGGGCCGAGTCCTTGGCCACGAGGATGAAATCATCCACGTAGACTAGGATGTAGAAGGGCTCAGAATGACGGCGGATGAAGAGAGTCGGGTCAGCAGTTGAAGGGTGGAAGTCCAGGGAGAGGAGGACTTCTTTCACCTTGTTGTGCCATTCGCGAGGGGCTTGCTTAAGGCCGTAGACGGGGCGATTCAGCTTCCAGACAGTGTTGGGAGGGAAATCTCCTGGGAAGCCTTCTGGTCTGTCCATGAACACTGTCTCCTTGAGACGTCCTTGTAGGAAGGCGGATGAGGCATCCATGGATTTGATCTCGAAGTCTTCTCGAGCTGCGACATCCATGAGCGTACGAATGGTGGGAGGTTTGGATGTGGGGGAGAAGGTTAGGAAGAAGTCGCGGTACTGCTGCTGGGTGAAGCCCTTGGCTACGTAGCGCGCTTTAAACACCGGTGCCTCGTCTGGGAGCTGTTTTACACGGAACAACCACTTGCCCCCGACGATGTTGACTCCTGGAGGTGGAGTCTCGTCGTCGAAGGAGTGGTTGCGGGTGAATGCTGCAATCTCCGCGTCCATGGCAGCACGCCATTTGGCAGAATGAGGGCCTGAGAGAGCCTCTTGGACGGTGAGAGGGATAGGGATGGTCGGGTTCTCCGCGAAGTTGAGGGAGGGTGAGCCAGTGATGTCGGGGAAGATGTGTGAGAGCTGAGGAAGGACTGCATGGAGATCACACAGTTCCTCATGCCTGTCTTCTAGAAGGGTAGAGGGCACATCCCCCCCAGCAGGAGGAGGCGGTGTGATCGCGGTGTATCGAAGAACCATCGCGAGTGGAAGAGTAGCGCGATGTGAGCGAGTGCCATGAGCCACCGGGATAGAGGGTGGGGCTGGCGGGGTCGGAGAGGGTGACTTAGCAGGCTTGGGCGGGGGAAGGGGTCGCCGGCGGTACGTGATCAGCTCGGGCGACTGTGGGAGAGCGGGTTCCTCTGTGGTGGGGGGAGCCGGGGGAGGAGGTGGGGCCGGAGGGTGGGACCGCCGATGGTAGGTGATAGGTGCGCTCGGAGGGGGCGGCGCAGCGGGAAGTGGGGAAGGTGAGGGGGAGGGAGGAGCAGCTGCCGAAGACACCGGTGAGGCCGGGTCAGTGACCTCAGAGGGAGATGGTGCGATGGCAGGAGAGGGAGGAGGTGAGGGAGCAGGAGCAGGCGGGAGGTCGGGAGGCGCATCAAAGTCTGCCCACACGAGGGAGGGTGGATCAGGGAGAGGGTCCCGTCCCGAAGGGGAGTAGAATGGGCGGGTCTCATCAAAGACAACGTCACGGCTCCTGACCAACTGGTGAGTGGAGGGATTGAGGAAGAGGTAGTCAGGTGAGTCGGCGTTGTGCCCGAGGTAGATGCACGTCTGAGTCTTGGGACCGAGCTTGCCACCGTTATGCCGTCGAGCCTGAGGGTTGAGGAGGACATAGGCGGTGCATCCCCAAACGCGAAGAGAGCGAGCAGTGGGCGTTTTCCCGAGCCAGAGTGTGGTTGGAGTGGTGTCGGGAAGGTGCGGGTGGGGGTAAAGGTTGTAGAGGAGGGCAGCGTGGTAGAGAGCGTACCCCCAAAGAGAGTGAGGAGCGTTGGAGTGGCTGAGGAGGCACCGAGTGATCTGCACCAGGGTGTGGTTGCGGCTCTCAGCTATGCCGTTCTGTTGAGGGCTGTCAGGGAGGGTGAAGTTTTGCTGGATGCCTTCGGAGGAGCAGAAGGCTTTGAGCTTGTCGTTGCAGAACTCACCCCCCCCATCCGAGTGAAGGCGCTTGACCTTGCGGTCAAAAGTGGTCTGTGCCTGCTTGACCCACGCTATGATGACCTCGGGTGCCTCAGCCTTAGTGTGGAGGAGGTGAACAGAGACATAGCGGGAGTGGTCATCCACAATGATAAGGAAGTAGCGATAGCCACCTCGTGCGAGAACAGGGGCAGGGCCCCAGACGTCCATGTGCACGAGGTCCAGTGGTGCTGCAGCGATTGTGGGTGAGGCAGCATGGGGTTGTTGGCGCAGTTTGCTCTTGGTGCAATCAAGGCACGTGGGAGCTGGTGAGTCAGGTGGTGGGGGAAGTGCGGCTGGCAGGCCGAGGAGAAGTTTCTTGGAGGCCATGTCAGCAAGAGTGCGGAAATTTGGGTGCCCGAGCCGATGGTGGTAGAGGATGGTCGGGTTGGAGAGGGTGCGACATGAGCATGGTGTGATAGTGGCCTGTGCTTGGGTGGTTGACACCTGTGGGAGAGGGACGCGTAGCGTGTAGAGGCCGTTGCTGTTGAGGGTGTAGCGGGCCAGAGTTTTGTTGGTGCGTGGATCGATGATGTCGCAATAGTCCTCGTTCTCTGGGAAGATGGTGCGTAGCCCTGCCTCCTGAATTTCTGTTTGGGCAACTAGATTGTGACGCAGTGAAGGCACGCACATGCCAGTGACAGTGCCGGATGGGAAGGCGGGGCATGGGACTGTGGAGGTACCCTTGGCGAGGGTGGTGAAGCTTGAGTCAGCTCCTAAGAGAGGGATAGGTGTTGGGTAAGGTTTGAAG